AATGGTAATGCTGCTCGCCCAGCACTCTTCTAATGGTAATGCTGCTCGCCCAGCTCTCTTCTTATGGTAATGCTGCTCGCCCAGCTCTCTTCTAATGGTAATGCTGCTCGCCCAACTCTCTTCTAATGGTAATGCTGCTCGCCCAGCTCTCTTCTAATGGTAATGCTGCTCGCCCAGCTCTCTTCTAATGGTAATGCTGCTCGCCCAGCTCTCTTCTAATGGTAATGCTGCTCGCTCAGCTCTCTTCTAATGGTAATGCTGCTCGCCCAGCTCTCTTCTAATGGTAATGTGAGAATTAGCAGTAGAAAGTAAGAATGAAGAAAGGAGGAGGTTCACTAGCAAGCAGTTGAGTACATATAGGAAACCCTAGATTGGGCTGTACTCGCTATAGAGTACCCCACTGCAGGCTAGACAAATACAACATTCTGACACACCCCCATAGCCAAAGTGGGGTGTAATCAGCACAATGAGCAGGTATAGCAGGAGTTCACAATAAGAAGCAAAGCTAGAGGTAATCACAGCGGGCAAGTGAGGAGGAGGAGGGACTGTGAGAGGAGAGAAGATGAGAGACGGCGGCTGAAGCTGCAGACACACGGGCAGCAGGAGCTGCTGGCACAGTGGCTACCGGGACAGTGCGCCCCAGACTACTGGAGTAACTGGCTCACGGGCTACGACGAGCTACAGGAGCAACGGACCCTCGGGCGACAGGCGCAGCAGACTCTCTGGGCTACCAGGACAGTGCGCCCCGGACTACAGGTGCTGCGGACGACAAGACAGCAGCCTCCGCTCAACCTCCTCCAACTGTCCCACACACCCCCCACACACCCACTGCTTCACTCCTAACTCCACTTGCACGTCACCCCCCTAGTACCACTCCTTCGGCTCCCACACACCCACCCCCCTCAGCGGCAGCTGCAGCACTGGGAGACGGAGGAGGAGGAGGAGTAGGGGACGACGCACAGAAACTGCACCCCCATACCCCCCACCCCCAAACCCTAATTCAGGAGAACGGGCAGCAGCAGGGGTGGGGCGCCGTCAGAAGCACGGGGGACAGCGGGCAGCGCAGGGGCAGAGAAAACAGGGCGCCCACGGGCCTTGCGCAGCCCGTACGAACCGCGTGCGGGCGGCCCGAGGCGCGCCCTGGCCTGGCGCAGTCCGTACGGGCCGCGCGCGGGCCTGGCGCTGCCCGTACGGGCCGCGCGCGGGCCTGGCGCAGCCCGAACGGGCCGCGCGCGGGCCTGGCGCAGCCCGTACGGGCCGCACGCAGGCTGTACGGGCCGCGCGCGGGCCCTACGCAGGTCGCGCAGGCCGCGACGGGCGACGGGGGGCGACGCGCGGGTCCCCGTCGCCCGTCGCAGCGCCTCCCGGGAGCGACGCGCGGAGTGACGGTGCAGAAAGCCGCCGCGCGCCTCGGGGCGCACGGCGGGCAGAAAACCGCCGCACGCTCCGAGCGCGCGGCGGGATGAAAAATCCGTCGCACGCCACGGGGCGTGCAACACACAGAGTAGCAGTAGCAGCGGAAGCAATGAGGTGGTGGGCCCACCCACAGGATCGACCCAAGGGGATCGACCTGCTCTGATAGCATGTCAGAATTAGCAGTAGAAAGTAAGAATGAAGAAAGGAGGAGGTTCACTAGCAAGCAGTTGAGTACATATAGGAAACCCTAGATTGGGCTGTACTCGCTATAGAGTACCCCACTGCAGGCTAGACAAATACAACATTCTGACAGGTAATGCTGCTCGCCCAGCTCTCTTCTAATGGTAATGCTGCTCGCCCAGCTCTCTTCTAATGGTAATGCTGCTCGCCCAGCTCTCTTCTAATGGTAATGCTGCTCGCCCAGCTCTCTTCTAATGGTAATGCTGCTCGCCCAGCTCTCTTCTAATGGTAATGCTGCTCGCCCAGCTCTCTTCTAATGGTAATGCTGCTCGCCCAGCTCTCTTCTAATGGTAATGCTGCTCGCCCAGCTCTCTTCTAATGGTAATGCTGCTCGCCCAGCTCTCTTCTAATGGTAATGCTGCTCGCCCAGCTCTCTTCTAATGGTAATGATGCTCGCCCAGCTCTCTTCTAATGGTAATGCTGCTCGCCCAGCTCTCTTCTAATGGTAATGCTGCTCGCCCAGCTCTCTTCTAATGGTAATGCTGCTCGCCCAGCTCTCTTCTAATGGTAATGCTGCTCGCCCAGCTCTCTTCTAATGGTAATGCTGCTCGCCCAGCTCTCTTCTAATGGTAATGCTGCTCGCCCAGCTCTCTTCTAATGGTAATGCTGCTCGCCCAGCTCTCTTCTAATGGTAATGCTGCTCGCCCAGCTCTCTTCTAATGGTAATGCTGCTCGCCCATTCTAATGGTAATGCTGCTCGCCCAGCTCTCTTCTAATGGTAATGCTGCTCGCCCAGCTCTCTTCTAATGGTAATGCTGCTCGCCCAGCACTCTTCTAATGGTAATGCTGCTCGCCCAGCACTCTTCTAATGGTAATGCTGCTCGCCCAGCTCTCTTCTAATGGTAATGCTGCTCGCCCAGCTCTCTTCTAATGGTAATGCTGCTCGCCCAGCACTCTTCTAATGGTAATGCTGCTCGCCCAGCTCTCTTCTAATGGTAATGCTGCTCGCCCAGCTCTCTTCTAATGGTAATGCTGCTCGCCCAGCTCTCTTCTAATGGTAATGCTGCTCGCCCAGCACTCTTCTAATGGTAATGCTGCTCGCCCAGCTCTCTTCTAATGGTAATGCTGCTCGCCCAGCTCTCTTCTAATGGTAATGCTGCTCGCCCAGCTCTCTTCTAATGGTAATGCTGCTCGCCCAGCTCTCTTCTAATGGTAATGCTGCTCGCCCAGCTCTCTTCTAATGGTAATGCTGCTCGCCCAGCTCTCTTCTAATGGTAATGCTGCTCGCCCAGCTCTCTTCTAATGGTAATGCTGCTCGCCCAGCTCTCTTCTAATGGTAATGCTGCTCGCCCAGCTCTCTTCTAATGGTAATGCTGCTCGCCCAGCTCTCTTCTAATGGTAATGCTGCTCGCCCAGCACTCTTCTAATGGTAATGCTGCTCGCCCAGCTCTCTTCTAATGGTAATGCTGCTCGCCCAGCTCTCTTCTAATGGTAATGCTGCTCGCCCAGCTCTCTTCTAATGGTAATGCTGCTCGCCCAGCTCTCTTCTAATGGTAATGCTGCTCGCCCAGCACTCTTCTAATGGTAATGCTGCTCGCCCAGCTCTCTTCTTATGGTAATGCTGCTCGCCCAGCACTCTTCTAATGGTAATGCTGCTCGCCCAGCTCTCTTCTAATGGTAATGCTGCTCGCCCAGCTCTCTTCTAATGGTAATGCTGCTCGCCCAGCTCTCTTCTAATGGTAATGCTGCTCGCCCAGCTCTCTTCTAATGGTAATGCTGCTCGCCCAGCTCTCTTCTAATGGTAATGCTGCTCTCCCAGCTCTCTTCTAATGGTAATGCTGCTCGCCCAGCACTCTTCTAATGGTAATGCTGCTCGCCCAGCTCTCTTCTAATGGTAATGCTGCTCGCCCAGCTCTCTTCTAATGGTAATGCTGCTCGCCCAGCTCTCTTCTAAGGGTAATGCTGCTCGCCCAGCTCTCTTCTAACGGTAATGCTGCTCGCCCATCTCTCTTCTAACGGTAATGCTGCTCGCCCAGCTCTCTTCTAATGGTAATGCTGCTCGCCCAGCTCTCTTCTAATGGTAATGCTGCTCGCCCAGCTCTCTTCTAATGGTAATGCTGCTCGCCCAGCTCTCTTCTTATGGTAATGCTGCTCGCCCAGCTCTCTTCTAATGGTAATGCTGCTCGCCCAGCTCTCTTCTAATGGTAATGCTGCTCGCCCAGCTCTCTTCTAATGGTAATGCTGCTCGCCCAGCTCTCTTCTAATGGTAATGCTGCTCGCCCAGCTCTCTTCTAATGGTAATGCTGCTCGCCCAGCTCTCTTCTAATGGTAATGCTGCTCGCCCAGCTCTCTTCTAATAGTAATGCTGCTCGCCCAGCTCTCTTCTAATGGTAATGCTGCTCGCCCAGCTCTGTTCTAATGGTAATGCTGCTCGCCCAGCTCTCTTCTAATTGTAATGCTGCTCGCCCAGCTCTCTTCTAATGGTAATGCTGCTCGCCCAGCTCTCTTCTAATGGTAATGCTGCTCGCCCAGCTCTCTTCTAATGGTAATGCTGCTCGCCCAGCTCTCTTCTAATGGTAATGCTGCTCGCCCAGCACTCTTCTAATGGTAATGCTGCTCGCCCAGCTCTCTTCTAATGGTAATGCTGCTCGCCCAGCTCTCTTCTAATGGTAATGCTGCTCGCCCAGCTCTCTTCTAATGGTAATGCTGCTCGCCCAGCTCTCTTCTAATGGTAATGCTGCTCGCCCAGCTCTCTTCTAATGGTAATGCTGCTCGCCCAGCTCTCTTCTAATGGTAATGCTGCTCGCCCAGCTCTCTTCTAATGGTAATGCTGCTCGCCCAGCACTCTTCTAATGGTAATGCTGCTCGCCCAGCACTCTTCTAATGGTAATGCTGCTCGCCCAGCTCTCTTCTAATGGTAATGCTGCTCGCCCAGCTCTCTTCTAATGGTAATGCTGCTCGCCCAGCTCTCTTCTAATGGTAATGCTGCTCGCCCAGCTCTCTTCTAATGGTAATGCTGCTCGCCCAGCTCTCTTCTAATGGTAATGCTGCTCGCCCAGCACTCTTCTAATGGTAATGCTGCTCGCCCAGCACTCTTCTAATGGTAATGCTGCTCGCCCAGCTCTCTTCTAATGGTAATGCTGCTCGCCCAGCTCTCTTCTAATGGTAATGCTGCTCGCCCAGCTCTCTTCTAATGGTAATGCTGCTCGCCCAGCTCTCTTCTAATGGTAATGCTGCTCGCCCAGCTCTCTTCTAATGGTAATGCTGCTCGCCCAGCTCTCTTCTAATGGTAATGCTTCTCGCCCAGCACTCTTCTTCTCTGCCACCTATTTCCCTTTGTCTGCCTCTCGGTTACATCTCCTTTCTGTTTCTCATTTCCTTTACCTTTGCTCCTCTACCTTCAGATGCCTTATTGCTCGGCTCTTCCTCTCCTCTTTCTTCACATTCCTTATTTCTCGGCTCTTTCTCTCCTCATTCGTCACATGCCCTTTTCCCAGGAGTTCCTCCTTCAGGTCGGATCAGCAGCAGTGGGCGGAGCAATATGTTGGCAGCAGCATTGGAGCACGAGGGTACACAAGAATAGCACGTGCTTTGAGGACTTTTCTAGTGGTGGGTTTATGCACTCACACCTTTCTCTTCTGCACCACACTAGCATGGCTTGCCAATACCCCTTCCATCCCAACACTTCTTGTCCACGTCTCACAGTCATTTGCCTTCCATGGCCGTTTGTCTCTCCGCCCGGCAACACAATTCCGCTGTGACTGAATTTATAGGAAAATTGGAACCAGAACTTTCATCACTAGCTTCTCTTGGTCTCTCATTTGCCCATCGCTCTTTCTCTGCTTCGTTTTGGGTGTGTTGTTGACTTGACAGGATTGGACTGGTGAGGCGGGGAGAGTGTTTGCCTGGTGGAGCCAACTGGAATGGCCAACTGGTGAAGAGCCCATCGTTGATTCGCAAGGTGAGGAAAAAGCAACCCAACACAGACTGAACGCAGCATATCACATCGTATCACATCATATCATATCGTATCTGTACGTTGTGTAGGTATCCAAATCATGTTAATCGTGTACCCCAATCGGAGAACATTCGTAAATTCATGTCGTATTTAATTTCATCACACGGAGAAGCTCAACATTGTCTGCCTTGCCGCCTCCTCTCTCTCGTCTGCTTGCAGGACAACCACGTGCATGCAAGACGGAAGATGAAGCTTTTGAGACGACTCAATTGCAAGACGGAAGATGAAGAACAAATATGCTAGAGTAGATAGGCTTTCTAGATTAGTAACGCTTTCAGGTATGGTACCCCCCTCCCCCCCCCCCCCCCACCCTCTCCTCCTTGACTCCCCAAAATCCCAACCCACCCGCTCCCCCTTACTCCATCCCATCCCATCCCGTCCCTCTCCTCCGCTTCGTAGGCACTTCCACACATCCTCTCTCTCCCCCTCGCTGCGTTGCCCCTCCGCATTCCTCCCTCTGCGACCCACATCCCCCTGCAACCCACCTCCCTCTGCGACCTACCACCCCATGTGACCCACCAGCAACCCCCTGCGTAGGATACGTTAACCACAGGGATAACCTCAGGGATAACCACAGGGCTAACTACAGGGCTAACCACAGGGCTAACCAAAGGGCTAACCACATGGCTAACCACAGGGCTAACCGCATGGCTAACCACAGGGCTAACCACATGGCTGACCACATGGCTAACCACATGGCTAACCACATGGCTGACTACAGGGCTTACTACAGGGCTAACCACAGGGATAATCGCAGGGGTAACCACAGGGTTAACCGCAGGGCTCATCACAAGGCTTCTTACCAGAACATTAACCACAGGCTTTCAGGATCTGAACACTCGGTAGTGTCCGCAAGGCATGTGCATATGGGCACTTCAGCCACAGACAGGGTGTATGCAGCAGAGTATGCTAACCACAGGGCCAGTGCATTAGGGCAGACTCGGTACAGGGCTAAATAGCAGGGTAAACCGCAGCGTAACCACAACACAGGGCAAATCAAATCACAGAGCTTGTGCAACGTGGCATGCTAGTTACTGGGGTGATGCATGGGATACTCATTCACTAGGGTTCTTACTAGAACACTAAGCACAGGCTTTCAGGATCTGAACATGGTACAACCGGTAGTGTCCACAATGCATGTGCATATGGGCACTATAGCCACGGGGTGTATGCAGCAGGGTGTATACATCCTCTTAGAATCCTTATCTTCTGGACTCTGTTTGCGCTGTATTGAAGCAGATATTTCCTAGGTTCTGCGTACTATTCGGACCTTGTGGTTCCGGTCAGCTCATTAGTCTTCTGCAGTCCACTTGTTACCTCAATTAGTTTGTCAGTTCCATGATCCGTTCCCCACGTCTCTAAACACTGCAATCAATCAGCATGTCGAAGCGGGCCGGCGACTACGACCACGAGAACGGCCGAGAGAAGCGGCGAGAGCGGGACGAGCGGAGCGACGCGGACGTCATCTTCCGCATCCTCTGCCCCCAGGCACGACAGTAGTCACATTCGTCGGAGTCCGCGTCGCGATCGTTTTCGCCTAAGAATAATGAACATTTTCGCCTTACCCGCCACATCACATTCTTACCCCATACCCGTTGGTCCTTCAAACCCATTAATTCCCTTGTGCATTCAAACCCTCCCAGGCGCGGATCGGGTCGCTCCTCGGGAAGCACGGCGTGATCATTCAGAGCATTCGCGAGTCCACCGGGGCGCGCCTGAAGCTTGCGGATCCAATCCCCGGCACGGACGAACGCGTTATAATCATCTCCGCTCGTAGCGACAAGAACTTTCGCAGTGGCGATTCTGCGACCGACGGCGACGGGGCCGTGGATCGCCCGGACGACTGGTCCGTCGCACAGGAGGCCCTGATTCGCGTGCATGCGAGAATCGCCGACGCGGATGGCGACAATCGCGAGTTTCGCGACAAGGATGGGGCCGAGGGTGGTGCTAATAGCGGAGCTGGCAATAGCGGAGGGACCCCTGCGAGGCTGCTCGTGCCGAGCAGTCAGATCGGGTGTCTTCTGGGGAAGGGCGGTTCGATCATCGCGGGCATGCGACAGGACAGCGGCGCGCACATTAGGATCTTCAATAAGGACAAACTGCCGCCGTGCGCGCTGCCCACGGACGAGTTAGTGCAGGTACGCGGCCTTTGAGGTTCCTAGAGAATAGAGTCAATGCCGGCAGGTCGCCGCGGCTACGTGCACGGAGTCTCAGCTGTAGGTTCCAGAGGTCCCGAAAATGACCACGTGGCAGTTCTCGTCCCATTTTTCGTCCTATCCCGTGTCGCCACGTGGCAGGTGACGGGCGAGTATCCTGTGGTCCAGAAGGCCCTCGAGCTCATCTCCGTCCGCCTCCGCCGCTCGCCTCCTCGCGACCCGCCCAACTTCCTCGCCATGCACCCCACGTCTGGTTACCACCAGCCTGCAGGTTACCAGCCGGCGCCTGGTTACCAGGCGTCGGGTTACCACCGGGGGGCTGATGCGTACCCCCCTCGGTCCGCCCCAGCTGCGGCCTTCCCCCCGCAAGGCTACTCCCCTTACGCTCCCCCCCAAAGCTACGCAGCCGCGCCGTCCCTCTTCGGGGGAGTGTGGGGCGCGGGCGCAGCAGCAGGGGGGGCGCACGGTTATGGGGGGAGAGGCGGGGGAGGTGCGGGGGAGGGGGCGGCGGTGGAGATGGAATTGCGGGTGCTGTGCCCCGCGGATAGAGTGGGGATCGTGATTGGCAAGGGGGGTTCGCGGATCAAGCAGGTGAGTGTGACTGTAACGAAGCAGGTGGGTGAGGTGGATGGGCGAATGGGGAGGGTGCATGGGAATGCAAAATTTGCGAGTTGCAAGAGATGAAGACACCGAGGCGATGCCAATGTGCAGTTTCTAACGGCTAAGCAGAACCCACTCAGCAGACGTATCTAACAACGGCTAACGGCTGTCTGTCCCTCAGTGTGCCTTGCCCTGCTTGTTGCCTTGGTATTGATTGCATCGCGTGCAATGCCTCCACTGCTTGCATTGGGTGCTTCCTTGCATGGTTTGCTTGCACCGCCTGCACTCTTTGCGTGCCGTGCCGTGCACTGATGATGGCATGCGTGGCAGATCAAGGAGGAGACGGGCGCGCGAGTGAAGGTGACAGAGGCCGTGGCGGATTGCGATGAGCGCATCGTGATCATTGATGCCATGGAGGTGAGTGCGTTCACTCGTTGACTCGTTCACTCGTTGACTCGTTGACTTGTTGACTCGTTGACTCGTTGACTTGATGACTTGTTGACTCGTTGACTCGATGACTCGTTGACTCGTTGACTCGATGACTCGTTGACTCGTTGACTCGTTGACTCGATGACTCGTTGACTCGATGACTCGTTGACTCGATGACTCGTTGACTGGTTGTTCCGCGTGCATGCAGCCACCTCACTCTCTCACCCTCTCCAACCCCCCCCTCTCCCTCCTTCCCCCCCCCCTTTTCTCCCCCCAGGCGCCCTTCTCTGCCCACTCACCCACGGAGGAGGCGCTGTTCCGCGTGCATGCAGCCATCTCGCAACACCATGCAGGCGACAGGGCGGCAGGCGCCGCAGAGGAGGGCGGGCGGGACAGCCACGGGGTCACTGCCCGGCTGCTCGTTAGGAAGGGGCAGGTGAGCGAGTGAGAGGAGAGGAATGGGAGGGGTAGGTGAATTTTTGAGAGGGGAGGAATGAAGGCGATTGGTCTGAACGTCAGCAGTCAGTGACCGGTTCAAGCAGCAATCACCGTCTGGCTCTTCCAAACAGTCTCTTTGCCATGTGCCTACTTCTCATCCTTTGTTGCCTCGCCAGGTGGGGTGTGTGATGGGCAAGGGCGGCAGCATAATCAGCGAGCTGAGGAGCACCAGCAGGGCTTTCCTCAATGCTGACTCCTCTCCCCTCTTCGCCATGCCATGTGCCTTCTATGTTTTTCCCCCTTTGCCACTTTTCCGCTTCCCATGCCGCCAGGTGGGGTGTGTGATGGGCAAGGGCGGCAGCATAATCAGCGAGCTGAGGAGCACGAGCAGGGCGCGCATCAACATCCCTCCCAGAGACCAGCTGCCCAAATGCGCCGATGAGAGCGATGAAGTGCTCGTGGTGAGTGGTGGTGGTGAGTGGTGATGGGTGGTGGTGAGTGGTGGGTGGTGAGTAAAAGGGCAGCACGAGCAGGGCGCGCACCAGCATAGCATCCCGCCCAGGGACCAGCTGCCTAAATGCGCCGATGAGAGCGATGAAGTGTTCGTGGTGAGTGGTGGTGAGTGGTGGGGAATGGTGGCTGGTGGGTGTTGATTGCAGCACGAGCAGGGCGCGCATCAACATCCCACCCAGAGACCAGCTGCCTAAATGCGCTGATGAGAGCGATGAAGTGCTCGTGGTGAGTGGTGGTGGTGAGTGGTGATGGGTGGTGAGTGGTGAGTGGTGGGTGGTGGGCCGGAATGGGTGGGGAATGCTGATGAGTGGTGATGAGTGGTGATGAGTGGTGATGGGTGGTGAGTGGTGAGTGGTGGTGGTGAGTGGTGATGGGTTGGGAGTGGTGGTGGGCAGGAATGGGTGGGGAATGCTGATGAGATGGTGGGTGAGTGACGTTCAAGAATAGCTGAGGAGTGCCAGCAGCAGGCATGCTCACGTGAGCAGGGCGTGCATCAGCATGTTGCCTCCAACATTCGGTGCTCTAAAGGCAACCACAAGCGCTGCAGCCTTTCCTGTCAACTCTCCTGCTGCCGCTGCTCCTGCTGATTCTGCTAGCCGCCGCTCCTGCTGCCCACACTTCCTATTCCTCGTTGCTGCTGCCGATGCCGATGCCGATGCCAAGTCAACTGCTTGTGTTTTCTCGCTCGTTGTTCCGGCTGCATCTCTTCTCCCTCCCCTCACTCTGCCTGTCATCAGGTATCAGGCGAGCCCCACTGTGTGTCCCACGCGCTGCGCCTCATCTGTGCGCGCATCAGAGGCAGGGAAACTGTTACAAGCGCAGTTGCGCTCCCCTCATCCCCCTCGCCTCCCTCCCCACTCCCCCCTCTCCTCCCCCCCACCAGGTATCAGGCGAGCCCCACTGTGTATCACACGCTCTGCGCCTCATCTGTGCGCGCATCAGAGGCAGGGAAACCGCTGTTGCCTCTAAAGGCGCTGCTGCTGCCGATGCTCGTGGTGCTGCTGCTGGTGGTGGTGCTGGTGCTGCTGGTGCGGGCGGTTATGCGGAGACAGGGAGGGGAGGGGGGTACGCCTATCCTGGGTCGGGCAGTCGAGGGGATGCGGCGTATGGGTATTCGCCAGCAGGAGCGGCCGCACCAGCAGTGGTGGCTACTCTGTCTGCTGGGGGCCCTGATGGCACTGTTGGGTGGTCGTACGAGGTGAGACGAGGTGCTTTGCGGTGGAATGCGGTGCATTGTTGTTGTGGTGCGGTGAAGCATGACTACAGTGAGGCTGACAGACTGAGCTTGTTCAAAGTCCCTGTCCCCCTAAAAAATCAGCCAGGCTTTCACTGATGAAACGTCCTCTTCCTCCCCCACCCTTTCTCTCCCTCCCTCCCTCCCTCCCTCCCTCCCTCCCTCCCTCCCTCCCTCCCTCCCTCCCTCCCTCTCTCCCTCCCTCCCTCCCTCTCTCCCTCCCTCCCTCCCTCCCTCCCTCCCTCCCTCCCTCCTTCCCTCCCTCCCTCCCTCCCTCCCTCCCTCCCTCCCTCCCTCCCTCCCTCCCTCCCTCCCTCCCTCCCTCCCTCCCTCCCTCCCTCTCTTCCTCCCTCTCTTCCTCCCTCTCTTCCTCCCTCCCTCACTCACTCCCTCCCTCCCTCCTCTCCCTCCCTCCTCCCCCCATTTCCCTCGCTCGCTCCCTCCTGCGTTCTCTCCTCGCTCCCTCCCTCCTCTCCTGCGCTCCCTCCCTCCTCTCCTGCGCTCCCTCACTCCCTCCCTCACTCTGAGCAGCCAAAGGTGGAGCCCTCCTACCATGACTCTGGCTATTCTGCTCCCAGGTAACACCTGCTCCAGGTAACACCTGCTCCAGGTAACACCTGCTCCCAGGTTACACCTGCTCCAAGGTAACACCTGCTCCAAGGTAGCACCTTTCCTCACTGCACCGCTCTGTGCTTCCGAGTTACGCCTCACCCGTTTCTTGCTTCTCTTGTCCCCCGCGCTTCTCGTGTCCTCCGCCCGCTCTCGTCACACAGGGGCTCTGGCTGGGATGTGGCGCCAGCAGCAGCGCAAGAGTATGGCAGGTGCGTGTTATGACTGAGCTGAGAATTCCATCCTGCATCCCATACTGCAGTCCATACCGCATGCATCCCTTATGTTGTTACTTCCGAAGCTTCTCAAACTACCTCCCAAACTTCTCCTTATCCCCATGTTACCCTCCCATTCCCCTTCCATCTGCCTCCCAAGCCCCTCCTTATCCTTGTTTTGTTACCCTCCCATCCCCTCCCATTCTCCTCATCATATCCTTATCCTTGTTTCTACTGAGTTACCTTCCGTTTTCCCTTCCATCCCCTTCCTCATCCGCTTTCCTAATTGCTCTCCCATTTCTCTGTCCTCGTCAACCTTTCTCGTTCTCTATATTCAGCTACTCACATGCCTCTGCACCCGCGCCTGCCCACTTCTCCTCGCCTCCTCCCGCTCACACTGCTTCTGGTGCTGCCAGTGCTGGTGGTACTACGGGGGGCGGCAGTGCCGGTGCTGCTGGTGCTGCTGGTGGGTCAGGGGGAGCGGCAGGCGGGGGTGTGATGACGGCGCTGGTGACAGTGCCTGCTGTGGCAGCAGGGGCGGTTATCGGCAAGGGGGGAGCCAACATTCAGCAGATCAAAAGCGTAAGCGGGTGGGAGGGGGGCACGATGGTGGGACAGGGGCAGAGGGAGGGAGTTGGAAGGAGGGGGGTGTGATGACAGCGCTGGTGTCAGTGCCTGCTGTGGCAGCAGGGGCGGTTATCGTAAAAGGGAGCATTGACGAACTCAATGGATAATCTTGGGTGGTGCTTGGGTGGCACATGACTGCCCAAGGTTATCAATCTAGGACCGTCCAGTTTCTTTTCTAACAACTCTCCCCCTCCTCCCCACCCACACCATCCCCTTTCCCACCCCCCGCCCCCTTTGCCACCCCCGTAGCATCTGCTGAGACTCATGGTTACCAGATTTCGAGGGCGCGTACGCTCACAAGTGTTATGACAACTCAAAGCTCCTTCTTCTTCCCCCTCCGCTTCCCTTCCCCAGTCACCCCATCAGTTCTCAGGGGCGCGAGTGCGCAGGTACGAGGAGAGGGAGGGCGGGAGCGAGTGGGACACCCAACACCATAGCTGACCCCTCCTCCCGCCTCCTCCCTGCTTCTCTTTCCCTCCCCCCGCCTCCTCCCCCTCCGCCTTTTTCTTTCCACTCTCCCTCATGCTTCACCCGTACAGATATCAGGGGCGCGCGTGCGCATGTACGAAGGCAGGGAGGGGGAGAATGAGCGGGTGGTGGAGGTGGTGGGTTCCGCGGACCAGGTGCAGGCGGCTCAGGCCATCATCCATGCTTTCGTGATCAAAGGCACCGCCGCTGCTGAGAGACACGCCGAGAGGCGCGAGGCATATTGATGCATGGAAGAAAGAGGGGCTGCAGGCGTGGTAAGTGGTGGTTGCACGGGTATGCTTGGCGTGGGTCGTGTTTGGAAGTGGTGGGGCCAGCGGACCAGGTGCAGGCGGCTCAGGCCATCATCCACGCGTTTGTCATCAAAGGCACTGCTGCTGCTGAGAGACATGCGGAGAGGCGCGAGGCGTACTGATGCAGGCGAGGTGGCATCAGGCATGGTAAGTGATGGTTGCATGGGGTCATGGCATTCTCATGGGCTTATGGCATACACGTGGGGTCATGGCATCCCACCGCCTGGTGTAATTTCCGTTCCCTATGACCCATGGCCCATTCCCTATGCCCCATTCCCCACCCCATGGCCTATGCCCCATGCTTCGTGCTGCACACCCGATACCCCATACCTCACGCACCCCATACCCACGCCTCATGCCGTATGCCTTGCCTCTTGCCTTTAGCTGTGTTCCCAACCACATCAAGCCCGTGGTTGAACTCCCACCCACCATGCCTCCCGTCTTCCATCTGCCTTTGACCTGAAGAGAGCTGTTGCTTGTTGTCAGTGGCCCATTCACTCAAACCACCATCTCTCATCAACATCCCATCCCACTTCCCTGCCCATGCCCATACCTGCTTTGCCCTTATCACTCCACCATGCCTGCTTTTCCCTTATCAATTCTCCATGCCCATACTTATGCCCATGCCCGTATTACTCTGATCAATCCGCCGTGCTTCACTCTGCAGCAACAGAGCCTTGTCAAAGACACAGCCTATCACACCACACCCTTGTCAAGCCCTGTCACCGCTCTGGTCTGGACACCCTTGCCTTGACCCGCTCAAGCCTGGCCCAGGGTCGCTAAGGGCATAGCAGGACTAGTTGAATTTGACAAGACTTAGCCAAGGGACAGACCCTAGATGGAATGGAAGCTTCTGTGAGCTTCTTTGCAAAGAAGCCGGGCACAAATGAACCTTTGTGGGTGCTCGGGCGGTCCCCCCCTCCGAGCCTTATGTTTTTCCTCCAAGCCGTCCTTTTGCTGCTCTCACACGTATTCTCATCATACGTTTACACCCTTGTCAGAAGCTCGCCAAGTATGCCGGGCATCATTCCCTTGTAACCATTTCAGTGACTTTTGGGTAGACTCACACGCAATCAACCTTTTCTCCTTACGCCCAAGCCCATTGGCCACAACCTTTTTGAGCCAGAAACAGTTTGCTCTGAACCGACTAGTTCAGTTCAGATGGTGCTGCATCATATTTGGTTTTCTTTTTTCAAACCCAAATCAACGTTTGCACCCAGCTACTCCAGAAAATGTCAGCCGTTTCTTTCCCTAAGCCAAACCAACCATCTGCCCTCATCAATTTTCAAGCCCCATCAACCAACTTGATTTGAAAGTGTTCCATCAGATGTGGCTCCATGCCCAGACCACACCAACTCAAGCATGTTAGCACAAGACATGGGCCCCCTTTTAATCCATGGATGTGAGCACACGACAACCCTTTTACTCCATGAACGTGAGCACACGACAACCCTTTTACTCCATGAACGTGAGCGCACGAGAACCCTTCCATCCATGCATGCGAGAACACGAGCCCTTCAATCAATCCATGCATGTCCTAGATTCAATGCCCACCGGAATAGGCTCGAGGGGAGATTTGCCTGTTGAAATGATGAGGCAAACATCAAAGCGCCTTATTGGATTCACGTTTTCATTGGTTACTGGCGCGCGTTAGAACGGAAATGAGGTGGAAGGGGATTGGATCGTGTTGGGTTAGGTAGTGATGCGGTAGTGTGCAGGCACAGCACAAGCGTGACGATTTTGTATTGGTTGCTGTTTAATGTTGTATTACCGTTTAATATTGGTATTACTGGTAAGAGGTTCTACATCGTTTCCAAAGAAGCAATAGGATGCTGAAGAGTGATTTGGTGTAGTAGATTACTGAGCTGATTTCTGCTGATGCTGTCCTATCAAAATAGACATGAGACTGGATCATACGGTACTTTTTGACAACACTGACATCACTAGCGAAAGTCATTCCAGCAGGGCCGTTATTACCGAAGACGCAAATCTCAAGGGCGATGGATTCACATTTCGACTTCTGCAAATCCAAGGGCAATCACCACATTTCTAGCTCTGAATTGGTTAGCCATGGCGTCGGATCACGAGATTCCGCTCCTCCCGTCCCCATCATCCCGCCTCTCCCCGTCCTCTCGCGCGCCTCCCACGAACGTCGCGGGAGACTCAAGCCGAAATTCCCGCTTCCGCCGGCTCACCGCGTGGGTGTCGTTTACCATAGCAGCCGCGCTGCTCCTTCTCTTGCTCGAGCTCGAAATCCTTCCCCTGCCTTCGTACCGCTCGCATTCGTACACGTCAGAGTCTGACGTGGCTCATTCTCCGCCACTCGAACCCTCAGAGCCGCGCAATCTAGAATCAGAATTAGCTTCATTGGCGAATGCGTATGGAAGTGGTTTCGTTCGTTCCGAACGTTTTCGTGATGGGGAGAGTGCTTCTAGCGAAAGCGAGAAGAGCGCGGAGGAATGGCGCAAGCGAGTTGCGCAGCTCCCCCGACTGCGCGCGGAGCAGAGGCGCGTGCGCAAGGCGCAACGGCACGGGGGGAAAGCTTTTGAGTCGACTCAAATGCACGGGGGGAAACCGCCTGGCGATGGCGCCGGGGGGAGCGGAGGGGGAGGCGTGGGGTTGCGCCTGTGGCCCATGCCGGCGGAAATAGCGGCGGAAGGAAGCGGAGAGGTTGTAGTCAGCCCGAACCTGAGGCTCGACATTAGCTTCGGCGGAGTGCCGAGCCTGGTAGACGGGAGAAGGAGGAAGGCGAATGCAGAGGTGCTGCGGCGCGCGTTCGAGCGGTACCTTGGAATCATCTTCGCGCATGACTACTCGCGGCGGCGCGGCGGGCAGAGCCATGGCGGCTCGGAGAGGCGGCGGCTGAGGGGAAGAAACGCGGCGGAAGGGGGATGGACGGCGGAAGCGGAAGGAGAAGAGACTGGATTGAAAGGGGCGGAAACGGGGGTAGCAGAGAGTGTAGCGAAGGGGGAGGGAGAAGAATTGGAGGAGGGAGAGAAGGGGGTAGAGGTGATGGAGTGGGTGAGAGTGCATGTGGAAGACGCAGAAGCAGAGGTAAGAGTGCAGAGTGCTGCCTGCTTTTGTCCTCCTCGCTCTTTCTAGTGTTCTGTTCTTTCATTCATGGGCTTACATCCTCGGTTGTAGTTTGTTGCGTTTGCTCTGGTGAAATGATCGTTCCTTCACATGGCGTGGGATGGCGTGGCATGGCATGACACTGAGTGATGTGATGATGACTCATGTGCGTGCGAGCTGGTTCCCTTGCTAGCTGACGTGGCATAAAATGGCATGGCATTGCTTGGCATCGTATGGTACGACTATCGGCGCATGCATGGCACGGCATGGCATGGCATGGCATGGCATGATGGTGCGTGCAGCTGCACATGGGAGTGGACGAGAGCTACGAGCTGTCACTCCCGCTTGCACCGCCACCACCACATGATGCTTCTCATGCTGCGCATGCTGCACGTGACTCTGATGATGCTGATGCTGGCAACACACATGCACGCCACGGCCATGCCACCATTTGGGTCAGTACACAGCATTGCGTGCCACGTGCCATGTGCCATGTGCCACGTGCATTGTGGTAACTGCTTTTGCGATTTCTCTTTTCCGTAATTGATTATTTTTTCTCATGTGTGTGCTATATTAACCCTACGCCATGCATGCACGTGCGTCTATCTGTGCGTCGCCCGTCTATCTGCAGGCCAACACGACCACAGGAGCATTGCGAGCGCTTGAGGTACGTCTTCTTCCATTGCTTCTTCCATGGCACATGAATGTGCTTCGGTGCTCTGCTATCATCCATGCCTGCAGATTGAATCTTACATCTCTCCTCATCTGCTCGCCACACCTACGCTCGTAGTCATGTGCGCATGTTGGGAACTTTGAAATATACCTACAGCACTGTCGTCTTTCTCCCTGCCCTTTCTAAATAAAGCCTCCCCTCCTTCCCTTCGCCCACTTCCAACCCCTCTCGCCCTCCTTTTTTCCCCTTTCCTGCCTTTCCCCCTTGAACCTTTTTTTTCCCTTCCCCATTCCCTCCTTTCCTCCTTCCCCTCGTCACCTGCCCCCTCTCCTGCCCACTTGCGCCCGCAGACCCTCTCACAACTGTGCGTCTTTGACTTTCTCGCTCGCGTGGTCACCATCCGGGGCTCGCCCCTTCTCATCCGCGATGCTCCTCGCTTCCAGCACCGCGGGTTGCTCATAGGTACGTACTTCGTACACAAGTTTTGACCCTATCCCTCGAGAGACTATGATTCATCCCTTCTTGCGCTTTTCTCGGGTCGCCTCAAATTTCACTTCGCCCTTTCTTTCGCCCCACCATGCCACCATCCCCACCATGCCACCATCCCCACCATGCCACCATCCCCACCATGCCACTTTCATCGTCTTGTTTCACCTCATGGAGGATTGGTGGTATGCCATCATCCTTACCATCCCCTTACTCCCATCATCCCCGCCATCCCACCATTCCACCACCCATCATCAACCCCACCAGACACAGCGAGGCACTTCCTGCCAGTGGTGGTGATGGAGAGGGTTATCGACTCCATGGCGTATGCCAAGCTCAACGTGCTGTGAGTGCTGGGACATGGAACCATGTTATGGGTTCATGCCATGCGTTCATGCATTCAACGTGCTTGGAGTGCTGAGCGCCAGTGGTGGTGAAGGAGAGGGCCATTGACTCCACGGCGTATGCCAAGCTCACAGCATCCATGGGTCATGCCATGCATTCAACGTGCTGTGAGTCACGCCAACCGCCCCCACGAAGCACTGGCATATGGTGTAATCGCTCGAAGCCTCTCTTCCATTATGTTCCTCCCTGCTATTCTTCCCCCTCCCTCTATCAAATCTCTCCCCCGCCAGGCACTGGCACATGGTGGACTCACAGTCCTTCCCCATCGAGACGCCCTCCTTCCCTCGCCTCTGGCTCGGAGCCTTCTCTCTTTCTGAGCGCTACACCACTGACGACATGCGTTATATCGTGCAGTCAGTAGCAGAACTCTTGCATGCCTCTCTCGTCTATTCACCTCCTCTTCTTTACACATCGTATTTCCTTCTCTCTTTCTGAGCGCTACACCACTGACGACATGCGTTATATCGTGCAGTCAGTAGCAGAACTCTTGCATGCCTCTCTCGTCTATTCACCTCCTCTTCTTTACACATCGTATTTCCTTCTCTCTTTCTGAGCGCTACACCACTGACGACATGCGCCACATCGTGCAGTCAGTAGCAGAACTCTTGCCTGCCTCTCTCGTCTATTCACCTCCTCTTCTTTACACATCGTATTTCCTTCTCTCCTCCTTAGCGCTACGCCACTGACGACATGCGCCACATCGTGCAGTCAGTACCTGCTCTCTTGCCCTTCCCTCCCCCTCTCTTCTCTAGCCTTCCTTTCTTCCCTTCTCTCCCTCTGAGCGCTACACCACTGATGACATGCGTTATATCGTGCAGTCAGTACCTGCTGCTCCCTGTCCCTTCCCTCTCTCCCCTTTCTCCTGCCCGCCTCCTCGTTCTCTTCACCTCCTCCTACTTCTATTCTTCTTCTGCCTCCTCGCTCTCTTACCAGACACCTCTGCTGTCCCCCTCTCTCTCCCGTGCAGATACGCAGAGGACAGAGGCGTGATGGTGGTGCCTGAACTCGACTCCCCCGCACACGCAGCCTCATGGTGACCTTCTCTTCTTCGCCTCCTTAGCAGGGTGCACTTAGCTTGGCGCACTTAACAGGGTGCTATAGGCAGTGTCCCATTGGTTAGTGAACAGAGAAGGATTCAGCTCCCTTGTGCTGAATCCTGAGTTTTGAGACGTCTCAAAACTCTTCTTTTTTCACGTGGATTCAGCTCCCTTGTGCTGAATCCTGTGCGGCCATTGCTGGGTGTGGACACGTCATTCCTTGCCTGCATTGACCAAGTCACTCAGTGCCCTGATTTGACCAAGTCACTCAGTGCCCTGCATTGACCAAGTCACTCAGTGCCCTGCATTGACCAAGTCACTCAGTGCCCTGCATTGACCAAGTCACTCAGTGCCCTGCATTGACCAAGTCACTCAGTGCCCTGCATTGACCAAGTCACTCAGTGCCCTGCATTGACCAAGTCACTCAGTGCCCTGCATTGACCAAGTCACTCAGTGCCCTGCATTGACCAAGTCACTCAGTGCCCTGCATTGACCAAGTCACTCAGTGCCCTGCATTGACCAAGTCACTCAGTGCCCTGCATTGACCAAGTCACTCAGTGCCCTGCATTGACCAAGTCACTCAGTGCCCTGCATTGACCAAGTCACTCAGTGCCCTGCATTGACCAAGTCACTCAGTGCCCTGCATTGACCAAGTCACTCAGTGCCCTGCATTGACCAAGTCACTCAGTGCCCTGCATTGACCAAGTCACTCAGTGCCCTGCATTGACCAAGTCACTCAGTGCCCTGCATTGACCAAGTCACTCAGTGCCCTCAGCACAATCCCTGCAGCATCCACCCCACTCCGTCCAACCCCAGCCATCCCTTTTGGATGCTTCCATTCCTTTCCATCTACAGAGATTCCGATTCCCCTCCCCCCCCCCCTCATGCCTTTCCATTCTTCGCCCCCCTTCCTTCTCTGTTCGCGTGCCTTCCCCATCCCCAGGGGAGTGGGCTATCCATCGCTCCTGCCATCTGCTGCCTGCCCCGAGCCTCTCGATGTCTTCAACCCCCTCACCTTCCAACTCATCAAAGGGGTGCTGCAAGGTGCGTATGTGTGTGAAGGGGTTCTGCAAGGTGCATGTGTATGTCTAAGGAATTGTTGCGGCACTTGTCTCCAACCCCTTCACGTTCCAACTCATCAAAGGGGTGCTGCAAGGTGCGTGTGTGTGTGTGCAAGGTATGGGTGCTCTGCACCTCTGCACGGTACTCTGCGTGAGGTGCTCTGCACCTCTGCAAGGTAAGGGAGGGATGTGTGAATCTTGATGTTGCAGGGAGTTTGTGAATGTGTGAGGGATGTGTGAATCTTGTCCTCTCCGACTCAGCGACAGCTGCAGCAAGGTGCATGCAAAGTCGTTATCAACACTTGTATGTACCCAACACTTCTCCTGTTCCTCTACTCCCGTTTTCTACCTTCTCCTGCTCCATCAGACCTCCGAGCAGTCTTCAAGAGCTCTTACATTCACCTGGGGGGCGACGAAGTCAGCTTTGGTGCGCACATTCACACACATGCACGCACGCACGCACGCACGCACGCACGCACGCACGCACGCACGCACGCACGCACGCACGCACGCACGCACAATCTCTCAGTCTACACGATGCAGCTGCTGCTCTTGCTGCCCTTTCATGCTGCCACCTCTCCCTTGCTCCTTCTTGTTCTCTTGCTGCTACGACGTCTCATTGTCCTCCCCATCCCCAACTTCCTCCCTCTCCCCCATCGTCTCTTCCTTTTCCTCCTCCGCCCGCCCTCCCTCCGCGCATCAGAGTGTTGGAAATCATCCCCCACCATAATTGCATGGTGAGTTGCTCGGCAGCTGGGTGTTCGGTTGTGAGCTATGAGCTATGAGCTATGAGCTATGAGCTATGAGCTGTGAGCTGTGAGTTGTGAGTTGTGACCTCTGCGCTATGTGCTGCTGAGCTGGTTCGTTGACCTGGGATGGACGCTGGTTGGACCTTGGTTTGTCGAATCGAATGTGCACTTGGACTCGAATCTTGGGACACCTCACTCTCCCACATCTCCGCACTCCCACATCCCCGCACTCCCACATCCCCGCACTCCCTCATGGCTGCAGCACACTCAACACTCTGCACTTATCAAACATCTTTGTAAGTCAACCTTATCTGTTCCTTCCTCTGCGCCTGGCATCCAATACCCTCTTCCCCTTCCCCTCTTATCCAGGCTGCAGCAGCGCAACCTGACAGCAGAGGGAGGCTATGGGTACTTTGTGCGGCGAGTGCAGGCATTGGCCGTGGAGGCTGGGTGGCAGACCGCTGTCGTGTGGTGAGTCCCTCCATCATCCTCTCTCTCTCTTCCCTCACACTTGCCCCATCTCTTTCCACCCACCGTCTTCCACCCACCGTCTCCCCTCATCACCCATGACTGTCCGACCCACCTCATTCCTCCCCCATTCTCCTCGCACTGACACCTCTCCCCACTACCATCCCGCAACGTCCTCCTCCTGTCCCTCTGACTGCGTGCTCTCACCACGTGCTCTCAACACGTGCTCTCAACACGTGCTCTCACCCACACTCCCACCACGTGCTCTCACCACGTGCTCTCACCACGTGCTCCCACCACATCCTCGCACTGCGTGTGGGCAGGGAGGAGCCATTCAAGGTGTTTGGGGCAGACCTGGATCCAGCCACTACCATCGTGCATCCTCCTCCTCCTGTCCCTCTGACTGCATGCTCTCCCCACATGCTCTCCCCACATGCTCTCCCCACATGCTCTCCCCACATGCTCTCCCCACATGCTCTCCCCACATGCTCTCCCCACATGCTCTCCCCACATGCTCCCACCCCATGCCCTCGCCCTATGCTCGCACCACACACTCTCACCCCATGGGGGCAGGGAGGAGCCGTTCAAGGTGTTTGGTGCAGACTTGGATCCTGCCACCACCATCGTGCATCCTCCTTCTGCTGTCCCTCTGCCCACATGTTCTCCCCACACTCTCACCACATCCTCTCACTGCGTGTGGGCAGGGAGGAGCCGTTCAAGGTGTTTGGGGCAGACCTGGATCCTGCCACCACCATCGTGCAGAACTGGTGGGTGGGTGGTGGGGTGGGGGGTGTGGCATGATTGGGTGAGCCTGCCGCCCGCATGAGGAGCCGTTCAAGGTGCTTGGTGCAGACCTGGACCCAGCCACCACCATCGTGCAGAACTGGTGGGTGGGTGGTGTGGGGAGCATGCGTGTGTGGTGGTTGCCTGTGTGGAGTTACCACTACCAACATGCAGGGTGGGTGGGTGGGTGATGGGGAGAGGGATGGCCGGGTGCGTGAGTCTGCATGTGTGGTGCTACCACCACTATCGTGCAGAATTGGTGGGTAGGCGGTGCGATGAGGGGCGGAAGGGGGGGATGTCTCTTTCCCCATCCTCTCCTCATCCTCTCCCCATCCTCTCCTCATCCTCCCTGTTAACCCTTCCCCTTATGGCAGGTTTGACACGACTCTGCCGCCCGCAATCGTGCAGTCTGGATTCCGCATGTTCTTCAGCAATCTCAACCTCGGCTGGTACCTTGACTTTGTTGACCGCACGTGGAGTGAGGTGAGTCAACGCAAGTCAACGTGAGTCAACGGGAGTGAATGGAGTCAATTGGAGACAAACAATCTCAACCGCGGCTGGTATCTTGACTTCATTGTCCGCGCTTGGAGCAAGGTGAGTCAATGCAAGTCAACGTGAGTCAACGAGGGTTAGCAGAAGTACATGGGAGAACATGTAGAGAGGAGCAGTATTAGTTGTGGCTGGTACCTTGACTTCATTGACCGTACATGGAGCGAGGCGAGTCAACGCAAGTCAACGGGAGTCAACGTGATTCAACAGGCGAGCATGTCGAGAGTAGCCATATCAGGTGTGACTGGTACCTTCACATCAACCACGAGACATGACTCATCCTGTCTTTCCCCCTCCCATGTTCTGCTCTGTTGCGCTCAGGTGTATTCTCAGGAGCCGACAGCAGGGGTGCCAGAGGCGCTACAGCATCTGGTGGTGGGCGGCGAGACGTGCATGTGGGGGGAGCGGGTCGACCCGTCTGACCTGCTCAACACTGTGTGGCCGCGCGCTGCCGCTGCTGCTGGTGAGATGGTGATGGTGATGCTGGTGGTGAGATGCTGCCGCTGCCGCTGGTGAGATGATGATGGTGATGCTGCTGGTGAGATGATGATGGTGATGCTGGTGGTGAGATGATGATGGTGATGCTGGTGGTGAGATGATGCTGCTGCTGATGGGTCAACTTCAGACTTACCCTTCAGACCTGCTCAACTCTGTGTGGCCTCGCTCTGCCGCTGCTGCTGGTAAGATGGGGATGCTGCTGCTTCTTTAAGTGCGAGCGGTGGTGCTGAAGCTATTCAGAAACCGCTGGGCATATATGTGGACTCGCATCTCTCTCAAGCGCACACGCGCCTGCTCATGTTGCTCCCGTCCCTCTCGCTCCCAAACTGCCTCTCTCTCTTTCTCTCTTTCAACACAGAGCGCCTGTGGAGCCCCCGGGCATATGTTGATACGCATCTCTCTCAGGCGTGCACGCGCCTGCACATGTTCCGCTGCCTGCTCACATCCCTCCTTTCCTCCCATCCCTCTCTGTTCCCATCTCACTCTCTGTCTACTCAGAGCGCCTCTGGTCCCCCCAGGCATACGTGGACCCACACCTCTCTCAAGCCCACACGCGCCTGCACATGTTTCGCTGCCTGCTCACATCCTCCTTTCCCCCTGTTTCTCTCTCTCCCCACTCAGAGCGCCTCTGGTCCCCCCGGGCGTACACTGACTCGCGTCTCTCTCAGGCCCACACGCGCCTGCACATGTTCCGCTGCCTGCTCACATCTCGCGGCATAGAGGCAGCTCCGGTGGACAATGCCCATGTGCGCTCCGAGGCCCCCATGCCTGGCAGCTGCTATCGCCAATAAGCGCATCAACATGTGAGGTGCCTCGGAATGGCTTTTCAGGAGTTCAACGGTGATCTTAAGGATCTCAGGCGTTGGTACCAAGCCGGCCTTTCCTGGCAGCTGCTGGTATCGCCAATAAGCACATCAACGTATAAGGTGCATCTGGCTCTCGAGTGATTTTGTTTTCCCCAAAAGTCCTGCACTTCCGCCAGCTGTGCGATGAAGTCGATGTCGAGTATTGGTTGGTTGAATGAACGTCCCTCGTGGTAATTGGAACAGAGCGGCTGAGCTGCATTGCATTCCACAACCATGTATAGTGTGAAGGTAAGGCATTCGCTTTTCCTTATTCTAGTCCCAAATAGCACTTTGCCATGTATAAACAGTTCCATCATGAAGCATGTAGTGCTATGCAATAGTGCTCCAAAATAAGCCTTTGAGTATCCTAAAAGCGTATCACATTCGGTACCTTTGTATTTCATGGCTCTAGCGGGTACTGCTATGGTGTATGTTTGACCCACTTTCGTTTGCACGTTTTTGCGTGGGAAACGTAGTCTCTAAAACACGTTTTTGCGGGAATCTGGTCTCCATCGCTGCCACCCCACCTAGTCTTGGGTACTGTACCTATAAACGCAGCTGGTACGGTATGGATTGCGGGAACCAAACCACAACGTGCAAATTATGTAAAAGACGCCGCTTTTTCTTCCCAGTTCCCCGACGTGAAGCTGCGATGGGCCAACGCCCACTCTAGCATGGCACGCAATTTCAAGGCGTGTTACCCAATTCCAGCCTTTGATTCGTACCTCTTATTGTCGCCACCGATTTAGCCGGAATTTGTCGAGTTACCTCCCTGTTATTGTTTGAAAATCCTTGTTGGAGATCCCTCAGGTACTTTCTCTCTCTCAGTTACTAACACTCACTACCTTGACTAAGTGTGCATGCTGGAACTACCATGCACATGAAAAAGCCGACTTCGAGTAGTAATCTAAGAAGCCCTTCCAGAAGCTTCTCCCCCACCCCAACATCCGGTTATTTCTCCAGTTTCTCGGTGCGATTTCTCGACCCTGACCAGTTTGCATTATGAAAAGTACCTAAACGTTGGGATGCTAGAAGAGCTATCCGTAGGTTTTGGGGTACCCCACTAATCGGGTTATTGACTCGGAACTAGTGGGGTCCCCCAAAACCTACGGATAGCTCTTCTAGCACCCCAACCCACACCACTGCAGCCATCTTCTTGAGGAGGGGCAGAAAGTGCCAAGAGACGAGGGTGCGTGCCATTGGCAGAGGCTGGCATGGCTACTGTACCTTTGTTTCAAATGAGTGATGGTGAAACATGTTTTGGCGAACCGTGACATGCTTTCTTCCCTAAAATGGCATAGTATAACAATGCTCGACCATGTACAAGATACACTCTTAGCCTTCACTGGGCATGTATTGCACATTGTTGTGCCTGATGTCAACGTGATGCCCCTAAACATTCGGTCTGCAAAACTTGCTCACTTCTTCCACCACAAACCGTCCATACCAGAACCCATTCAATTGGACAACCTCATCCTCAAACCTGCTGGTTATTAGAGGACCCCCCTCGGCTGTCACATTGTACTGTTCAGCGTGCTTGGATCGAATCCACAATACACATGGAGCATGGTTGGACGGCCATCACCGCCTCTTGCCCCGATAACCGCGACTGCGCGGGCAGCAAGCGCTGTTGGTAGTCGCCGTTCCGCCTGTGCAGCACTGGTCACGATGCAACGGAGCTCGCGGAGTCCATCCTCGTATCTGTTTGGGCAACTACAGTACGCGGAGTTCTCCAGTAAAATCCCCCATACAGTATCAACTTATTCGAACATCTTTCTGGTACTGTAGTACTTTGACGCACAGCAGTACATGTAATGTTTCACATTCTACTGTATACGTGTATTTATCCACGCAATCCCTGGCATCGTTGCCGGGCAGAAGCTCTCGGAAACCCTAACATTGATCGTCATGCTCGGCTGACAGCCTTCCCCGCCTTGGTCCATCCGACCAGCAAGCCACTTCTGTCCCCGTCCTGGCGGAGGGTTTTCTTCCATACTGGCTCGATCCTGCCAACCATTCCCCCAACTGTTTCTTGACAGAAGCTCCATTCCACTCCACCCTACATTTGTTCGAATCGTCCTCCGAGGACAAATTAAAGGCGGGGTGCAACTTCTTAGGAACAGCAGCAGGACAAACATGGAGTGTGCGTAACGAGACCCTTATTGGATGAAAAAAATGGAATCTCGGAAAAGACAAACTTCTCGCCACAGAACTGCCTGGGACAACCAAGTTCCATGCTATAATACTTCGAAGTTGAAGCTGATAGTTGGGCCACGGCTTTAACAGAGACGTGATCCGGTTGTGGTCCATGAAACCTGATGGGGAAAGTTCATCCCCTTCAGAAGTTCTACTATTTGGAGACCTTCGTGATCTTCAGGACTTTTCACCATTACATTTTCGTTCTCATCTGTGCGCTCTCGCTTCTCCACGATTTCTGCTCAAATTCTGGACCTCCGTTTCGCCGGAGTCGGCGGCTTCAGACCTTTCAAACAGATTCAAGCCTTTGTTAGCACATTTGGGATTTTTGTTTCCCAAATTTGGAAATGTCGACTGACGACGTGCCTATTACAGCTTACAAGTGGAAGAAATATGGACACAAAGTCCTTTCGTCCCATCAAGAAGGCAAACGGTTAGTGGAGTCACGATGATTTTGTTGCTTGTTAAGAAAAACATATTTATTTAGCACATAGATACGCGGTTTATACAGAAAAGAGTGGGAATTCTCGCGCAAGATGCTTGGGCCCAATCCTGTGTAGAACAAATCAGGCTTAAATCAGCCGTTTGTGATTCATTTCGAAGTACTACTTAGTAGGAGACTATCGCCGCTCCAAAAAGGCTAGATCAAACTGCTTTTATTGATTTGCTTCGTCAATCCTGCGAAGATTGCCCAAGATTTTTCTTCTGCTGTTTCTTGGGGTCAATTTTGGACTTCACAATCCGAGATTTAGTCAATGATGTACATGAGGCCAACAGACCGTTACTAGTTTTTTTTTTTTTTTTTTTTTTTTGGGTTAAATTCTCATTACTATTATTTATTATTATTATTATTATTATTATTATTTTATTTCTTTTCTTTCTTCGTTCTAATCGTGTCAGTGGTTCTGCTTCACGCAGGTTCTACTACGCGTGCGCAGCAAAAGACACGCTGGGATGCCCCGCCAAGTTGGTTGTGGATAAGGTACCGATCCAACGCAACACCAGCAGCAGCACCACAGCTGGTGGCGTCAGCACCACGGGCCTCAGAGCGCGGAGAATTGAGATGCGAGCACGGCGCCTGACAGCCAAGAACAAGCACAATCACCCGCCTCCTCCTTCTGACTCTGACAGCCCATCGTCATCGTCCTCCCCTCCTCCCACTGCCACTACCAGTGCCGCTGCTGCCACTGCCACTACCACTGCCACTGCCACTGCCGCTGCCACTGCCGCCACAGCCGCTGCGAGCCAGCCTCTGCCTGTTCAACCTGCGGAAGAGTTTCCCCTCTCTGCCGTTCAGTCTGGACACATTACCCCACCTAGCAGCCGCAGCACTCCAGCCAACTCCAGTAGGAAACGCCGCTCTCCTGAGGTTACCACCGCCACGCCCCCGCCGCAAGGGTCGCTCCAATTTCCAACACTTGGAGGATCGCCCTTCTTGAATCCGGGGGCTTTCTGTGCGGCTGCAGCCAGAGCAGGGGCAGGGGCAGGGGCAGGAGGAGGGGCGGGAGGGGCAGGGGCAGGGGCAGGAGCAGGAGCAGGGGCAGGAGCATCATTATTAGCCACCGCAGCAGGAGTAGGAGCAGCAAGAGCAGCAGTGGAGGAAGAAGAAACAGCACCGGTTAAAAGGCCCCAGACCCACTGTCTTCCTGAGCGGCACCGCCGTTCTACTTTCACCACACCTGTGTCACAAAGCCCACCCGTCGTCTCTGAACCTCCTCAAAACCCTCCCCTGGGCTCCGGAACCTTCACAAACCCACCATCGGCCTCTCCACCTTACCCCGACTCAGCACTGGCTTTCCATGGTGCCGGTTCTAACGCCTTCCAGGCTCTGCCCTTGGGAGTGCAACCGCCTTCGAGATTACAGCCACCCCTGTCGAGGTCTCAGCTTGCCAGCGCACGAGATGCCCTTTTGAATGCTCTTGCAACGGATCCTCGCATGCTCTCACAGCTTGTTGCCTCCCACGAGGTTCGTGCTGGCATGAATTCCAGGCCCACTCATACCGAGCTTGGCCGATTACACTCTCATGCGTGGCCTCAGGGTTTTCCTTCAGGTGCTCCGTCAGATGCTCCGTCAGGTGCTCCTTCAGGTGCTCCTTTAGGTGCTCCTTCAGGTTTTTCTTCAGGTGTTCCTTCAGGTGTTCCTTTAGGTGCTCCTTCAGGTGCTCTCTCAGGTATTCCGTCAGGTATTCCTTCAGATGTTCCTTCAGTTGCTCAACCAGGTGCTCCTCCCAGTGCTCCTTCAGTTGTTCCGTCAGGTGATCGTTCAGGTTCCGCCTCGGTCAGCCTCTCAGGTGTAGTTTCAGGTGCTTTTCAAGGTAGACCTTCAGGACCTTCAGCCTCATTGCACCGGCTATCCAGGGGTAGATCGCCTATCACCTGCGACAGAGAAACGCACTCTGATCCACACCCCCCTGGAGGGGGTTTGGTAGCAGTGAAGCAAGAGTGGAGCGGGGACGGCAGAGAGGGAGAAGGTCCCGTGGCACGGCGAATACGATCGCACCCGGGAGACAGTGCCTCAGGATTCCCAACAGATTTTCCATCAGACCTCCCAAGAGACTCCCGAACTCTCGCTTCAGCTCGCCGCGACTCAGACCCCATGGAAAGGCCTCTGAGAGAAGAAGGGCGGCTGATGCACGTGCAGAGGGAGCAGGCCAGACAAATGGAGCAGGCCAGGCAGAGAGTCTACAGGGGGGAAACCACATGCGGTAGTTCCAGGCACTCTCTGCCAAACGATAGCTCATACCATAGCCTTTCGGGTGAAAAGAACATACGCGGAAGAAGTTTTAAGGCAGATGGTGAAAAGAGCAAACCAGATGAGAGGAACATAGCAGGTGAAAGGAGCAGATCAGGTGAAAGGAGCGGACCAGGAGGGTATCCCGGAACTCAGCAGCAGGGTGTGGGTGGTGTGCTATCGTGTGGCCACCGCGCCTCTGGTAGCACAGCTCTCAGGGATGGCGCCACGGATGCTGTCACAAGTGCTGTCAGCGATGCATGTGCAGATTGTTCCACCATGCAGCAGCAGGGGCAGCAGCAGGGGCAGCAGCAGGGGCAGCAGCAGGGGCAGCAGCAGCAGCACACCAGCATCACTGTGGGAGAGATTGCGAGCAAGTCAGCTCCCCACCTTCGTCTGTGCGACTGGAACGACGATGATGTTGATGCTGCTGCTCATGCTGCTGCCAGGGGTGCCAGTGGTGCTGCTGCTGCTGCTGCTGCTGCTGCTGCTGCTGCTGCTGCTGCTGCTGCTGATGCTGCTGCTGTTCCGGCTGCTACTGCTGCTCCTGCTCCTGCTCCTGTTTCTGTCCCTTGTGCTGCTACTCCTGCTGCTACTACTACCAAGCCTGCTGGTGCGGGTGGTGATCGAGTTAGTACTGGCGTCGGTGGTGCAGTTGTTGGTGCTAATGTTGCTGGAGGGAAGACCGTGCAAACCGGAGAAGGTGCTGACGTGGCAGGTTGCGCGCCACGTGGCGTTCATGCAGCAGGAGCAAGCGGAGGAGCAAGCGGAGGAGGCGGAAGAGGAAGATTATCATCGGGCGTCAAGGCCGAACCTGAGTCACCACCTCCTCTCAGCTCCCCACGAGCTAACAGCGCCACTCTTGCTAACAGTAGTACCTCTTTTGCAGAGAGTGCTGCTTTTGCCAGCAGTTCTCGGGTTCCGGAGTTGCCTGCTGCAGGGAGCGGCTCACATGTGCAGCAATCCCCGTGGTCTCCTTCTTTGCGTTGCACGCCGAAACTTGCAGCAACGGACGCTGCAGCAGCAGGAGGAGCAGTAGCAGCAGGAACTAGAGAAGCAGCAGCAGCAGCAACAATAGGAGGAGGAGGAGGAGGAGGAGGAGGAGGAGGAGGAGGAGGAGGAGGAGGAGGAGGAGGAGGAGGAGGAGGAGGAGGAGGAGGAAGGGGGGAAGGAGGAGAAGGAGGAGGAGGAGGGGTAGCAGCAGGCGCAGCAGCGTCAGTAGCAAAACTACCCCCTCCTGAAGCATCACGGCCATCTGCAAGAATGAGAGGAAGTGCAGGAATAAGAGACAGTGGGGGGGTGAGTGGCAGTGCGAGGATGAGGGGCAGTGCAGCGGCGCACGACACGCCATGGCAACGCCTCCACGCCTGCTTCTCCACCTCCTCCTCTCTGCACACCCTCCTCGCTCCCCAACCTCCCGCTCCCCAACCTCCCGCTCCCCAACCTCCCGCTCCCCAACCTCCCGCTCCCCAACCTCTTGCCGCTCCCCAACCTCTTGCCGCTCCCCAACCTTTCGTTCTCCAAACTCTCGCTGTTGATCCTGCTTCTGTCTTCCAAGCCAACCATCCTCCTTCCAACCATCCTACAGCCACCCACCCACCTCTCACTCACCCTCTCGCCAACAACTTTCCTGCCACCCACCCACCCTCCATCCACCCTCCCGCCATCCTCCCTCCTGCCAACCATTCGCGTTATAACCACCCTCCCGCCAACCACCTTCCCCCGAACCACCTTGCTCCCGACCACTCTTCTTCACTCATGAATTTGGCCCAAACCCCCGCTGTGCCCCCTTCTCTGTTCGCTTCCCTCTCTGCTGCTGCCATCATCGCTGCAGCTGCGGCTGCTGTTGCCGCTTCTGCTTCTGGTGGTGCCTCTCCTCTCTCGGCCCCTGATCTTACCCTCCCTCCTCCCCCTCCTCCTCCACCTCCCCCTCGCCCTCCTCCTTCCCTCCCTGTCGTGTCTCAAACCCTCTCCTCCCCTCTCCCTCGTGCCACTTCCCCTCTCCCTCCTCCGCCTTCTCTCTCCCGGACCCGCACAGCCCCGAATCACACGGCATACCCTCCAACCCATCTTCACCACCCCGCCATCCCTGTCTCTACCAATTTCTCCGCGCCCATTGCTGCAGCCATGCCAGCACCAGCAATTGATGCCTGTGCCTCTGGTGTTGCTGCTGCCCCTGCTGCTGCCCTTGCTGCCGCCTCTGCTCCTGCCTCTGCTGCTGCTGCTTGTACCTCTGCTGCTGCTGCGTGTGCCTCTGCTAGCCTTGCCAACACCGTCTCACCACAGCAGCTGCCCCCAACTTCTCGGCCACATGCCTTGCCCTTTCCACCTGCGCTTCCTCTTCCTGCCTCTGCTGTAGCACCACCACCAACACCTGCCGCACCCACTTCATCACTGCCAACCCCTGCCGCAGCACCAATCCCCAATCCCACCACCCCCCCTTCTGTAGCCCCGGCAGCAGCACTGCCAGGTGTCGCCCTCCCAGCGGACAGTCTGCTGAGAGCAGCACGTGTGATGGACAGCATGAGAGCAGCACGTGTGATGGACAGCATGCGCGCCCTGCTGGCCCATCCCGCACCCACCACTCCTCTCCCCTCCCTTCCTCTCTCGCCATCTCTCGCCTCTTGTTTCCCTCCAGCTGCCCCCGCCCTTGCTGCCGCTCCTACTGTCATGGCTCCTCCTGCACCTGCTGCTGCTCCTGCTGCTCATTCTGCTGCTCATTCTGCTGCTCCTGCTGCTGCAACTCCTGCTGCTGCCACTGCCTATGCCATTCTTGCCAGTCTCACTCCTGCTGCCGCAACCCCTTCCAGCCTCGCTCTTCTAGCTCCCCTGCCCCTGGCACAATCCTCTGCAGCAGCAGCCCAGCAGCAGTCAATGCAGTCAATGCAGTCAAACCAGGTGCAGTCTGTTCCACACATTCTTCAGCAGAGAATGCCAGAGCATCCCTTACAGCTGCAGCAGCAGTCGCAGCTGCAGCAACAGCTATCGCAGCAGCAGCAGCCGCAGCAGCAGCAGTCACAGCAGTCACAGCTGCAGCAGCAGTCACAGCAGGGGCCGCAGCCACAGCAGCTGCAACAGCAATCGCAGCAGCTGCTGTCACAGCAGGAGCAGCAATTACAGCAGAAGCAGCAGCCATGGCAGCAACAGTTGGTACGGCAGCCGTTAGAAACCCAGGCTGGTCAGCAGCAGGCAAGACAGCACGTGACAAGACCACCACAGCAGCCGTCAGGCACTGCTGATTTGTCTCACGGCGTGACTCAGCAGTCAACCCAGCCAGCACAGCTAACCCGGCAGCAGCAGGAGCTATGGAATTACCTGGAGCAGCATTTGGGGCGGCAGTTAGGGCAGAAGTTGGTGCAACAGTTGCAGGAGCAGTTGGGGCAGCATCTCGGTCAGCAGTTTGAGTCCCAGGCGGGTAGCAGCAGGCAGCAGGCAAGGGAGCACGTGGAAGGACCGCTACAGCAGCCGTCAGGCTCTTCTGCGCTATCTCACGGCGACAGGAGTCAGCAATCACTGGGGCAGCATGTCAGTCAGCAGGTAGAGGCCCGGGCGGGTCAGCAGCAGGCAAGGCAGCACATGGCAGGTCCGCCACAGCTGCTGTCAGGCACTTCTGCACTATCTCACGACGGGACTCAGCAATTATCGGGTCAGCGTGTCAGTCAGCGGTTAGGGGCCCGGGCGGGTGAGCAGCAGGCAAGGCAGCACGTGGCAGGGTGGCCACAGCAGAAGTCAGGCACTGGTGAGTCGCCTCAAGGCGTGAATCAACAGTCAACCCAACCAACCCGACAGCAGCAGGAGTTATGGCGGCATTTGGAGCAGCAGTTGGGGCAGCAGTTGGGGCAGCATTTGGGGCAGCAGTTGCAAATTGTAGAGAATCAAATAGGGCAGCCGATAGGGCAGCGGATAGGGGAGAAGATAGAGCAGCAGAAGCAATTAGGTCAGCAGACAGAGGGGCAGGAGGGCAAGCAGGTGAGGCAGCAGCAGCGGCGTGACTCGGATGAGGAGCACCGGACGCAGAGGGAGGAGGGATCGGAGGCCCTCACCTCCTTAAACCTCCGCCTTTAGTGCTGCACCGTGGCTTACCTTGCATGGTTCAATGCAAGGTGAGGCAGCAGCAGAGCCGTGACTCAGATGGGGAGCACTGGAGGCAGACACGGATAAGCCCCTGACACCTGGATGCCCACAAAACGTGGATTGGACGTTGAAAATAAGTTGATAATGAGTTGATAGTGGGTTTATAATGCGCTGAAAATGCATTGATAGTGTGTTGAAAATGCGTTGATAGTGGGTTTATAATGCGTTGAAAATGCGTTGATAGTGGGTTTATAATGCGTTGATAGTGGGTTGATAATGCGTCGAAAACGCGTTGATAGTGTGTTGAAAATGCGTTGATAATGCGTTGCAGGGGTGGATAAGATCGGGGGAACTAAAGTGACATCTTATTACGGTAAGTGCTGTCATATGCTGAAGCGAGGAGGTTTGTAGTATAGGATTCTAGTCTTATAGCGTATTTTCACGGCCTCATATCAGGCCACCTCGTATCAAAATTGTGCTTTTCGTTTGGTAAAACTAGCGAGAGGTTTTGGGTTTAGGGGAATATTCAGCGTGAGCCTGATACGAGGTTCGCTTGATACGAGGTGTAGGAACACGCTCTTAGTCCCTCCTTACATGGCTCGATAATCTCCAAGTTTCCAGAACACTACAGTCTGCGCAGCACACCATCCTTCTCCACCGCATTCCATCTCACTGGGTCCTCCCCATCACCATATAAGCACGCTCTATGATGTTCTCTACAGTGAATCCAAACTTATGGAACACTTCAAGATAATGCCCGCTGGCACCGAATCGCTCAACAGAGAGGACAGCACCTTCAGGCCCCACCCACTCGCACCAGCCCTGTGAGAGGGGGGCAGGGGCAATTTTAGACAAATATCAAGCATACACAACAATGGCCGGGCCAGGCATAATATTAAACATAAAGCAGAAGCACCAATAGAAGCTGCAGCTATAACCAGCCTACCTGGGAGCGAGCAGCCTCAACGGCCAGTCGTTTGGTGACACGTGGCGGCAGCACAGCTTCCCGATACTCCCGAGGCTGCTGCCTGAAGAGCTCCCAGCAGGGCAGAGACACCACCCGCACACTGCTTGCATGTGATATGCGAGGGAGGGACGGGGACATGATATTGCATTGGTTGGGGAGGGAACTTTTATCGGCACCTGATATAGAGCTGCCAGCAGGGGAGAGACAGTACCGGAACGCTGCTTGAATCACATGACGAGATATTTGAGTCCCGACCCTGTGAACTGCCCTCCCTGCCTGCATGCGATGTGCAAAGGGAGACTCTGCCACCCTCACCTGTACCCTTCCTGGCGAAGCTTCTCAGCAGCATCCTGGCAGAGCACCAGCTCTGACCCTGACCCGATCAGAATCAAATCCAATCCAGCACCACCGCCTCCCTCTCCCTCATCTCCCATCTCCCCTCCATCCTTCTCTCCCACTCCCTCCTCCTCTCCTTCCCCTCCCCCACCGCCCAGCACATAACCCCCCTTCAGCACCCCTTCCCTACACGACCCCCGGAGCTGAGCTATCAGCTTCTGACGGGACAGCAGGATCGCGGTGGGCCCCACGCTGCGCCGGATCGCCGCCACGTAGGCGCCAGCTGTCTCGGTGGCGTCACCCGGGCGGATGACGTGGAGGTTGGGGATTGCGCGGAGAGATGGGAGATGCTCCACTGGCTGTAGTGGAAGAGGGGGGGGGGGGGGGAAGGAAGAAAAGGGGCCTGGAGAGTCTGGAGACACAGGAATCGACAACAAGAACCATTTTTACGGCAAAAAAAAACAAAAAAAAAAAAAAAAGACAAAAGAGGCTCACCTGGTGCGTGGGGCCGTCCTCCCCCAGCCCGATGGAGTCGTGGGTAAAGACAAAGAGCACGTGGGCGGCAGAGAGGGCGGCGAGGCGCACTGCCGGGCGCATGTAGTCGGAAAAGACGAGGAAGGTGGCTGCCACTGGTATGAGCGCGTGTGAGTGGAGAGCGAGTCCGTTGCTGTGGGGGGGGAGGGTTGCGGGACAAGCCTCGTTTTGAGGAGCCTGAGGAACAGGCAGAGTTGTAGATGCATGCAGTTGGAAAACACGAGCATCGCACCTGATGGCAGCCATGGCATGCTCGCGCACGCCGTAGTGGAAGTTGCGGCCCTCAAAGCACTCTCGGGAGAAGTCTGGTAGCCCGTGGAATGACACCTGGGGGGGCGACGTGTGGAGAGAGAGGGAGAGAGGACCGCTCGAGTGTTGAGACGTCTCAAAACTAGACGTCTCAAAATTCGGGAGAAGTCCGGCAGCCCGTGGAATGGCAGGCGGAGAGCGGGACGTGTTGAGAGCGAGGGAGAGAGGACCGTGCTCGAGAGAGGGATGGCAGGCGGATGTGAGAGTCGAGAGAGGCGCGCTCACAGCACATGTGAGAAGCCTCCCACGCCTCCTTGCGTGATGTGAGATGAACGAGGGAGGCTTCTGATCAAATTCTGTAACAGTTTCTTGAGGGAAGTCTAGGCTGCTTTGTTGTTACTACAATGCCAGCTCAGCGCAGCACTTCCTCACCTTATTGGAGGATGCCAGGTCAGCGCTGCCGCCCAGCAGGTTGGGTAGCGAGTGCACGAGGGCGTTGAGGCAGGTCTCTGAGTAACCCCGCGTGGCATCGGGTGGTGTTGATGGTTCGAAGTGCTGGGGAGATAGGGTGAGTGGGGGAGTGGGGGGGAAGAGCGGGGGGAAAGGGGGGGGAGGGGGGGGGGAAGAGAGATAGGAAGGCTTGGGGAGGGATGCAAAGGGAAGGGGGAGGGGGAGGCGAGGGCACGATGCATTGAGGCACACCTTGAAGTAAACCTTGTGGATTTCTTCTAGAAAATGTTTTCCCAAAACACACCTCCTCTCCCCCATTCTCCTCCCTCTCCCGTATCTGCTCCCCCTCCCCACCCTGCACCGCCTCTCACCGGCAATGAGTCTTCCCAGCCAGCTGGCAGCCGCCCAGGCACTGTGAGTGCGTCCAAAAGCGCCGCCCGGTCCGGGTGGCGCTGGCGGTACTGCACCGTCCGATCCCTCCAGCTGGCGGCCGCTGATTGGCCGCGCGCTGCCGCCGCATGCATGACCCTGATTGGCAGATGAACACGGAGACATGACGGGGGAGCGGGGCGAGAGGAGAGGTGGGGGTGGGGTTGGGGGTAGGGAGGGAGGGAAGGGGGCGAAGGTGGGTGGAAGGGGGAGCAGGAGGGGCATGGAGCAACAGCAGCCAAGGGACCCTACAGAAGACTACGGTTCAGGACTCTTGAACCTCTAAACAAAGCCAAGGAAGGATGGGAGCCAAACCGATCCCCATGGGGGAGGCAAATCCTTTTTAAAAGAGTATGAAAAGTGGGGGCAATTCCCTCCCACTCACCTGTACACCTCCTCGGGAACAGTAAACGGCTCGTTGTAGGGCCAGTGCAGTGTCTCCCGAATAGCTTCAGTCTCCTCGGGTCCAAACGCCCCATGGTGGGCCGCACTGGTGCCCTGCTTCCTGGGCGACCCAAACCCAATCACCGTGTCCACTTGAATGACCGATGGCTTGTGGGTTTCACTCTTGGCGGCTTGTATGGCGGCGCGAAGCGCGTCCAGGTCAGCAGCGACGCGCAGTGTGATTCGCTGCACGTGCCACCTCAGCGCGGCAAAGCGGCCCATGACATCTTCTGAGAAGGCAAGGGCCGTGCTGCCGTCTATGGTGACCTGTTGGGAGGGATATTGAAAGGGGTGAGGAGGGGAAGAGAGGAGTAAGAAATCTCACGAGCGATCGAGGGCGTGTTAGAGCGGACAGGTGGGTTGCGAAGGCCTAAACAAGATATAATATATATATATATATATATAATATTAAGAACTACCATTACCAAGAGCTGCATTAGCAGCTGCTGCAGCGTCAGTAGCAAATAAAGCAGCAGCTTCACCGGCCACACGAAGATCAGTGGCAGCACGTTTATCAAGCAGTTAAGCAGCTGCAGCATTGCCTGCACCAGTGCGAGTACGAGCACTAGTCGCACGAATACGAGTAACGGTTTCACAACCAGAATCAGCAGCTACTCGTACTCGTGCGACAGGTGCTCGTTCTCATATGATGCAACCAATGCTGCGATTACTTAAACTGTTTAGCTAAACGTGCTCTCACTGAACTTCGTATGGCCGCTGAAGCTACTGCTTCTGCTTCGTTTGCTGCTGACGTTGCAGCACTTGCTATTGCAGCTCTTGATGATCATAACTCTTAAATATTTTTCATTATATTGGGGGGAAGGGAGGAGTAAGACTTCTCAAGAGCGAGGAGGTTTTCAGAAGGCACGTGATGTCGTCTATAGTAAGCTGTGGCGGTTGGAAAAGGTTGGGAGTGGGCAAGAAGAAGGGGCAGGTTCAGAGAGTGGGGAAAGGTGAGACATCTAGGGGATGAGGGGGGTTCAACGCAGCAGTTGCCGCCCGCACAACCAGTAGCCGCCCACACACCAGGTGCATCCCGCACCTGGTTGGAGATACAGAAGGCGATGAGCTTGCAAAGCCCCCAGTGGCCCGTCACTGATGCTGCTACTCCCTACTGACCCACCTGAACCCAATTGACCCGCTTTCTTGAAACCCTTTCACCTGAGGGTTCAACCCAGGTGCATGCACCCCACACGCAGCTCTATGTCACGCCTAGTTGGGAGTCATACAAGGCAATATGTTTGCCCAGCCCCCAGTGGCCCGCCAGGGATGGGGCTACTACTCCCTAATGACCCATCTGACCCCAATCAACCCGTTTGAGTGAACCCTATCACCCGGGAGTTGAGCCCAGCTGCAGCGCGCACCTGGTTGGAGTCATAGAAGGCAATGAGCTTCCCCAGCCCCCAGTGCCCCGCCAGGGACGCTGCCTCGTTCACCACGCCCTCCATTGCACAGCCGTCGCCAAATACCACGAACCTGGACGGCAGCAGCGGAAAGGGAGGAGCAGAGGAGAGGAGGCACGGCAAGAACATGAGAAGGACAGAGGAGGCAGGGACGCTGCCTCGTTTACCACGCCCTCCATCGCACAGCCGTCGCCAAATACCACGAACCTGGTCGGCAGCAGCACAGGCAGTAGCGCAGGGGTGGAGGCAACGCAAGAAGGTGAGAAGGACAGAAGAGCTGGGGCGAGTCAAGCTTGTAGTGAGACGATGAGATCCCATAATGGGGAGGGATATCTATGGCAGCACCACGTGGTGACACCTGCTAGAATGCACTATTCCACAGCAAATAGATGACATGGACTCATCAGAAGAGCATGAGGTCAACGAGGTCAATGAGGTCAACAGGGCCCGTTCGACCTCATCCTCCCTTCACATGTGGTGGTCAACGAGGTCAACGGGTGAGGTCACACTCACGTGTGGTGGTCAAGGAGGTCAGGGAAGTCAACGGTGTTGAGGCGAGCAGCTAGGTGCGCCTCTGCTGCCGCCACGCCCACCGCATTCGCAAAGCCCTGCCCCAGAGGACCTGTGGGGGGAGGCAGCAAGAACGCGTGGGGGAAAAGACACGGAGGAGAGAGGAAGGTTTGGGAAGTCTCACAACTCGACCCAGGGAGGAAAGGAAAGGGAGGAATAAGAGAGGGATTTCCAAAAAGCAAAGAGACAAACACCACCCATCCGCCCCACCTGTGGTGACCTCTATCCCGGGAGTGAGTGTGTTCTCCGGGTGCCCTGGCGTCTTGCTCCCCAGCTTTGCCAGCCGCTTCAGATCCCCCATCTGAAAAAACAAACAAGATACTAGAGTCGAGTCGATGTTTGAGTCGACTAAAAAAAGCTGCTTCAGTTCCCCCATCGACAAACGGCCGCCCAGCCCAACTCAACTGCAGGTGCAGCAGCAGGCACACGTGGCCGTTGCTGAGGATGAAGAGCGGTCGGGTTTGGGAACTGCAGTGGCTTGCCCATGCCACCGCACTCCCAGCACACGCGCGCAACTCACCTGCAGACTATACCCCGTGAGGTGCAGCAGGCAGTACTGCAGCAGGCACACCCACCTGAACGTTGTACCCAGTCAGATGCAGCACAAGGCCGCCCGGCTCAGCTCACCTGGAGATTGTAACCCGTGAGGTGCAGCAGGCAGTACTGCAGCAGACACACGTGGCCGTTGCTCAGAATGAAGCGGTCGCGATTGGGCCACGCGGGATCAGCGGGGTCGAAGCGCATCTCCTCGGCGAATAGCAGCGCGCCAAGTGGCGCGAGCCCCATGGCGGACCCGGGGTGGCCCGCGTTGACGTTGTTGACTGCATCGACCACCAGCATGCGGATGGCGTTGATACACGTGGCAGCCACGGATTGGTCCGCCAGCTGCATAGAAAAAAGAGGGGGTGGTTAGGGGGGCAGGGAGAGGGGGGAGCGGGGGGTTTGGGGGGCAGGAAGCGGGGGGTGTGGGGCGGGCGGAGGGGGGTAAAGTGGAGAGGGTAAAGAGTGACAGAAGGCGCGGGAACGGGAGAGGAGAGAAGAGATACAGGAGAGTGCCATAGGTCTGGCGCCACGTGGCCTGCTATTCCCCATGCGTCTGGCGCCACGTGGCCTGCTATTCCCCATGGGAGGAGGATTGATGAGAGGTTGAAGAGTGACAGAAGGCGCGAACACGGGAGAGGAGAGAGGGAGATATAGGATAGTTTATGGGAGGGGGATTGATGGGAGAGGGCAGACATGCACGCTGACATGACATGAGGCCATCTGAAAAAGGGGCCAATTAGATCATAGCATGAGAGCACTGAATGTGAAAGCGTTGAACCCATGGCTGAAGTTGATTTCCTTGACTCCCTTGACTCTCAACACTCACAGGCGATTTTTCCAGCTGAGCTGTCTTCTCCCCATCTGCCACGTCAGCTCTCTCGCCTCCCCCCTGTGCTCTCTGCCCCTGGCATCTCGCCGTTAATCCACCTCCACTCCTCTCCCGACCAACCCTCGCCGTTCGATCAGAACGAAAGCCAATCTCGCCATCTCCATGCCGTCGCGCGCTCAGCCCGCTCGGCGCGCTCAGCCGTGGCGGCTGTGCGACAAATCGCCAGCTCGGCGACCCCACCGGGCGACCGCGGCGACGCTCGGGAAGGAATGCGACGGCTGCGATGGCTGCACCAGGAGGGGCGGCGAGAGAAGGAGGCGCGAGACGGGTCTGGAGCACTAACGATGTCATCCTGCTATGCGCGCTTTTTCCACCCGCGCTTCCCGAACGCCCGCACGTCGCGCGCCTAGCGATCGATTCTCAAGCGCGCCTCCAGTCGACGCTATTACTACTGCTCCAGCTGCCGCAGCCGGGGGTGAAAATGCGCTTAGACGACGATGCTTCTCCGAGTATGGATGCGTCGGTGTGGCAGTAAGGGGAGGAATAAGAGACGGTGGCGCGGTAAGGGGGACCGGGGGAGGAGCGCAGAGCGGGCGGATTGCCGGAAGCATGCGCGGATGGGGCGTTGCGCCAATTGTGTGGAATTCGGGGAGGACGAGGCGGGGAAAGGGGGGACGATGGGGGGAGTGGTGGAGGGTGGGAATGCCAAGGCGGAGATGGGCGAACACGACTCATGTCGAGCCAATGTCGCGCTTCGGCTACTACCGCCGAGGCGCAGTGCGGGAGTGGTGAGGTGTCAAGAGGGACTAGGAGGAGAAACCGCGACGCATGCATGGAGAGCTAGTTGCGCGCGACGCGTCGGGGAATCAGCGCCGAGGGGAGGTTGCGAGCCTGGCAGACACGCGCGCTTTAGGTGATGGCATGCGCATGCCGTGCCCCCACATTGAACGCATCGATAACAGCATAGCTAGCTAAATCAAAACCATATAACTAGGCAATCGTGGAATAAGTAGCAAAGGCGAAAAAATGAACCCTTAAAAAACAACAGCTGTCGACACACAAGCCGGTGTAGCTCAGTGGTAGAGCATCTGTCTTGTAAACAGAAGGTCCAGAGTTCAATCCTCTGCGTCGGCACGCCTTTTCCTCAGCCTCGTCGCCATTCGCACGTACCTCCTTTTCCACCCTGTCACAACCGCATTCCACTCGAATCGTCTTCTCTTTTCCCGCTTTTATTTTAGCCGCCGCGTTCCTCGCTGCGGGTATCGCCATGGGTCTCTTCGGCGACTTGCCTCCGCCGTCGAACGCACCCAAGCCACCGAGTCGCGCCAACCCTCTGTCGTCAACGTCAACTCCGTCTAGCAAACCGTCAATTGCTGCTGAACGGCCCGCGGCGGTTGCGCCGAAGCCGTCCGCGCTCAGGTCGTCACTCAAGGGGAGGGCGGATGCGCGCGGGGAAGAGGGGACGGGCAACGTCAGCGCGGGGGGCGCGGGTGGTGGGTCGGGGGAAGGCGGAAAGACTAGAAAGCGCGTGGGGGTGGCTGTGGCGGACGAGGCAGATGGCGACGGTATGGATGCTGCAGACTTCGTTGACCGCCGTTGACCTCTTGTGGCCTTCATTGCGGATTTAGGTCGATCAGGGTTGCTTGTCCGCAATGATATCTCGCGTTTCTTTTCCTGCCACTCATCCCGTTTATACGTTTCCTAAACCTATATTTCCTCATTAGTACCCTCCTCCTTCTGAGAATTGACAAAAGCTACTCTCCCTACTCTGGAGCCTTCAAGATTACCCCTCAAGGCTCCAGACCCAACCATCCCACTCCTGCTCGGCATTCTTTCCCGTTTCTCCTCGCTCCTCGCATTACTTTTTCCCCCTTCTCCCCATCCCCCCTTTTCTCCACCTCATTCCCCTTCCCCTTACTTCCCCCTTCTCCCCTCCCTTCCACCCTCTCCTTCCCCCTTTCTATTCCTATCCCCTCACCCCTCCCCCATTCCAGCCCCCCCGCGTCGGCGGGTGCGCTTCCACACGTTTGCTGAGGTGGCAGAGGACAAGGTGACGTCAGCGATAGCCAAGATCGCCGCCCACATCGGCACGCCGGCCAAGTTCAGAAAGGCGGCCGGCCTCGCTCGGCAGCTTCTGGAGGGCGGCGCACTCAACAGCGCCGCCGCAACCAGTGGCATGAACAGTGGAATGAACAGTGGGGATAACAGTGCGGTGGAGAGCGGTCATGCGCGGTTGTTCTTTGGAGTGCTGGATGCGGCAATGGGGCTGCTGCGGAGAGAGGGGGGAGGGGGGGCGGGGGGGATGGTGGTGGGGGCAGCGGGGGACGTTGGGGGCGACTATGCTGCGCTGATTGGCGCTGCTGTGGAGCGGAAGGAGGTGCGTGAGAGGGGAGGGGAGAAAGGGGGAAGAGAAGGGGGAAGGAAGGGGAGGGGGTGGGGGTGGTGGCATAGGGGGCAAAAAGTGGGGCAAGGGCATATGGGGCAGCGGGGGACGTTGGGTGCGAGTATGCTGCGCTGATTGGCGCTGCTGTGGAGAGGAAGGAGGTGCGTGAGAGAGGGGGGAGGTGGGCAGGGAAGGCGTGGGCAGGGAAGGCGTGGGCAGGGAAGGCGTGGGTAGGGAAGGCGTGGGTAGGGAAGGCGTGGGCAGGGAAGGCGTGGGCAGGGAAGGCGTGGGTAGGGAAGGCGTGGGCAGGGAAGGCGTGGGCAGGGAAGGCGTGGGTAGGGAAGGCGTGGGCAGGGAAGGCGTGGGCAGGGAAGGCGTGGGTAGGGAAGGCGTGGGTAGGAAGGGACATGGTAGCGGGCTCGAAGTGGTATGGGTAGAGGGCCACTATGAATTTATCAAGCCAACACAAATGTTTGTCTAAACGAATCAAGACACAATTCGCCAACCCCAACCCCTCACTCGCCCCCTTCCCCACCCTCACTCGCCCCCTTCCCCACCCTCACTCGCCCCCTTCCCCACCCTCACTCGCCCCCTTCCCCACCCTCCTCACACCCTCCCTCCCTGCTGGCCCCATCCCCCCCACCCTTGCTCTCCCCCTTCCCCACGCCCCCCTGCCCCACCCGCGCGTGCAGCTGTTTTCGGCGTGGCAGCAGCAGCAGGTGGACGTGTGGGGGATGCGCACCGTGCTAACTCACTCCCTGCGCACCGACGACAGCTTCCAGGTGAGGAGGGGTGGGGAGGGGTGGGGAAGGGTGGGGAAGGGTGGGGGGGCTGTGGGCATGAAGGCACGTGTGGGGGCATGTGTGGCACGTGTGGGGAGCGATTGCCAAGGTCACTTATAGCTCCCCTGTCCCCCCTCCTCACTTTCCCATTTTCCTGGCTCCTCCCTTCCCCATCCCTCCATCCCCCCAGTTCTCTAAGGCAGTATCGCGAGTGCAGCAGGAGGTGGAGCGATTGCCAGAGGCACTCAAAGCTCCCATTCTCCCCTTTCTTGCTTCACCCTCCCGCCCCTCCTCCGCCCCCCCCGCCCCTTGCCTCTTTACCTCCTCTCTCCCCCCAGTTTTCCAGGGCTGTGTCTCGAGTGCAGCAGGAGGTGGAGCGATTACCAGAGGCAGCAGAGGAGGATGAGAGGGAGGAGGCAGGGCTGTTTGCAGGTGTGGCGATGCAGGTGCAGGGCAGAGAGGGGGATGTGAAGGGAGAGGGAGAGGGAGAGGGAGAGAAGAGGGACGAGAAGGAGGAAGGGAAAGGGGAGGAGGAGTGCGGAGGGAAGGAGGAAGAGAGTGCGGAACGCCAGGGGGGGGAGTCTCAAGGGAACAGGGAGGGGGGAGAAGAGGGTGGGGAAGAGAGACGGGAGGACAAGCAAGAAGAAGGAAGCGACGATGCAAATGCTGCACATATTGCTGCAGATACTGCTGCGGGTTCTGATGCAGACCCCTTTGGACTTGATACTATGTTGGGTCTAAGTGGGGGTAAGGGAGGCGGGAAAGGAAGTGAGGGAGAGGTGGGAGAGGAGGAGGAGGAAGAGGAGGAGGATCCGTTTGGGTTGGGCGAGATGATAAAGAGCAAGCAGGCTATGAGGGAGGGGAGGAGGAGGGAGGAGAGGGAGAGGAGGCGGAGGGAGGAGGAGGAGGCACGGCGGCAGGAAGAGGAGGAGGAGAGGAGGCTGTTGAGGGAGAGGAGGGAGGCCCTGCTGCTGAGCATTCAGACTGCTACAGAGATGTATCGCCACAAGTGGTGGGTGTGATGTGTAGGGGCTAGGATGTCCACAGGTGGGGAGAGCCAGGGTGAGTGGTGTGAATGTGTGTGCGATGTGTGATGAGCATTCAAACAGCCACAGAGATGTATCGGCACAAGTGGTGAGTGTGATGTGCCTCTGCTGTGCATCCAGACTGCCTCTGCGGTCTCCTTATTCTGCATTTCCCTTCCTTTCCCCTCCACCCCCCCTCTTCTCAGGGCCCTGACAGCCATAAACATGCTCTGCCTGTGCTTCTTTCCCCCCTTTTCAAACCCTCCAGGGCCCAGACGGCCATAGGCATGCTGGCTCAGCACGCATACGACCACAGGCCGTGTGTTCATTTATGTGACCTGGGGCAACCTTTTACTGCCTTCCTCTATCCTGCTCTTCCCTTCCCCCCACTCCCTTCCCCCCCCCCCCCCCCTCCCCTCCCCCCCTCACAGGGCCCAGACGGCCATAGCCATGCTGGCTTGGCATGCCTACGACCACAGGCCGTGTGCTGATGGGACCCGAGGCAACCCTTCCTCTATCCTTCCTTTCCGTCTGCCTGTGCTTCCTTTTTCCAACCCTCCAGGGCTCAGACAGCCATAGACATGTTGGCACAGCATGCCTACGACCACAGGCGGCGATTCACCGGGCGGCAGCGGGCGGCAATCGAGGCGCTGTGGACGAGTGTGAGGCAGCAGCAGCACGAGCGCAAGCACGGGGCGGGACGGGGCGGCACCGGCCGGCTGGATGTGACTGCTTTCGAGCGCCTGCAACGGCATTATGAGGGCGAGGCGATTAGTATCAGGAAGGGGGTGGGGGGTGGTGGAGGTAGGAGCACAATCACCTGGCTGGGGTGAGGTGTGAACTTTCTAGGCGCCTCAACGGTTGCTTTTGAGCGCCTGCAACGGCACTATGAGGGCGAGGCGATTAGTATCAAGAAGGGGGTGGGGGGTGGTGGAGGTCGGAGCACAGTGACATGGTTGGGGTGAGTAATGCAGCTGGTTCTGTAGTATCTGTAGCAGGAGGATACATGAGCTGAGCTGATTGAAAGCATGCCTGTAGGGGTTGTTACTGCCATGGAGAATGCTGGGCTTAGTGTAATGAAGGAGCATTATCCAATAGAAAAACGTTAACGTGAAATTGGTTTTCATTACTAGCAGTACGGGAAGACACGATTTTTGAATATCGAGTACTTGACTGTGGCGGTTGCTTGTGACAGAAGCGGTTTCGACGCGTTTCGTTTGGAGCTCCAAGCGGCACGACACGAGTCGATTCAAGTTTCGGGGACAGGTCGAGTCGAACCCGAAACTTGACTAGACCAACCGACACAACGGAAAATGCAGATGTAAATGCCATCCGATTGGTCCAATGTTCCACCGCCGGAACACGTAGCTTCAGATCAAACCGAGCTGTGTGCTGTACATACACCAGTCAACTCAGAAGTTTTGACCGGCACGGCAGCCGTCAAAACAAACGATTGCGAACATCGAATTGCGAAAACAGCCGTCACATATTGACGCTCGGCGACAACAGGACTGAAGTGTTGCTGCTCTGTTGCGGACCTTGCCACGTGGCGTTTCTGACAAAAGATAATTCCTGAAACTTTCAAGTTCCTCCGCGTGGGCTAGGACTAGCAGCCAAACTAGCTTGAGCTGTGTGCTTGCAGCTCCAGCTGTTTGCGACGCGGTGCGACCCGTTGTTGAATTGGCCTCATGCCCCTAGCAAGGATGACGACAAACATCGTCACTTCACACGCCACCTGTTGCTCACGCCGAAAGTCCGATTTCCGCTGGGGAGGGAAAAATACCGTGCCGCAGCTTCGTCGTGTCATCGTAGTCATGCCCTGCCGCTGTCAGCAAGAAACTCCCTTTTCCCAACATCAGTGGGATCCTCCACCAAATAAAGCACCACCGATCTCTCATATCAAAGCATGAACTCAAGCATTCCTCTTGATAGCACATCCCATATTCCATTTAGCACATCTCGAATCAGTCAGCTGTTTCCGTCGCTTTTCGTTTCTGCTGCAGCATCTCGACTCCATAGTCCCTACACCTCGCAAAGATGGCGCAAGCCAAGCCCGACTCGGCCCCGCCGTGCGTCGTCGTGCTGCTTCCAGACGGCTCGGCGCGCCTCTACGACGACGCGCGTCTCACGGCGTCGACAGTGCTCGCCGACTTCCCCCGTCACCTGCTCCTCTCCACCCTCAGTACCGCCACGCCTCGCACCCCCTTGCCACCCGCCACGCCCCTCAAACCCGGCCGAACGTATTACCTCGTCGCCGAGACGCACCGTTCGCGAACGGCGGCGAGAATGGCGGTTGATGTTTCGTCGCCAACGTCGCCGTCATCGTCTCAATTTTCGCCTAGCGTCTTTCGCAAGTCGCAAACTCTGCACTCTACCAGCCCGGTGTTTGCGTTCCCCCATGCCGAGTCGCATCAGAGCTCTCCGCAAACAACGGCGTGGGCTTTGGGCCACGACTCCAGATACACATCAATGAAGGGCGCACAGCGAGTTTCCGGAACTTACGGCCCGATTTCCCCACTTTCGACGCTGTCGCCTTATTCTCCTCCTCTGTCGGAAGGCAGGATCCCGCTGGATTGCCATCATGGTCAAACGCGCAGCTCTCCCCCGAAGGAGTGGAAGGAGGAGTCGGGGTGCATTTTGAGAACCACGAGCACGTGCGATCTTGGCGGGATTAGGAGTTCGCAATCGGGTTACGACGCGAGCGCGGGTGTCCTCCCATCGCGGCGACACGATGGACACACCGCCAACCGCATTCTCCAAGAGGTTAGCTTTACCCAGCCTTTTTAATTTCGATTTATTGTTTCTTTTCGATGTTCAACCTTCCTTTCTCAGACAAATTGTTAAGATAAAACGAAAACCCTAACCGCCGTTGTCGTTCCCTAATGCCCTGTTTGCAGCTCGAAGCGCTTGACGACATGACGACCAATGATTCCGCGTACGATACTCGCGACCACCAGTCTCCTTCCGAATCCCTTTCACCAATCTCGGCAGAGCCTAATACAGCGACTCGGCGAACATCGTCCAGCCTATCTAAGCCGTCCATAATTGACAGACTCCCTCATCTAAAATCGTGGAGCTTTAGGAGCAGAGGCGCTCCCAGTCGGAAGATGAACAAGAGTCAGACCCAAAAGAACATGTCCGTCCGCACAGCCGAATTTCCTGATTTCGGCGGAAGCATTATCAGCAGTGGGCATCACATGGCGACGCCAAGCCATGGTGAAGAGGAGGGAGCCTTCTGGAAGAATCTCGACGACAGAACCATGATGTTCACCGACACGCAGATTCTGGTTAGCCGGAATGTTATGCGGGCAAATGACAGTGCGGCTACACCTACTCGCGCTGCCATGATCGGCGCTGGGGCGAAGGTATTCCCGAGGAGGCTACCGGAGCAAGTGGAAGAACCCCACGCTTCGGATTTTGAGCACTACTATTCTCAGGCCTTCTATCCCAGATGCTACAATGAGCCGATATTGGGTTGAATTCCATTCTAACTGCATAGCATATATGAGCTGCTTATTTTTTTGCTCTAGTGTTCCATATGTCCCATCCTACTCGATATAAAATTTTGTAGATACCAGGCAGCGTTTTAGGGAGGATGTGCAACACAACGGAAAAAACTTGATATCTCCAAGGATTGCTGCCCATATGTAAGGAAAATTCCTTTTCCTTACTTCGCGTCCCTGCTCAGCGCGTACACCACTATTCCCGCCAACAGCACCCAACAGTAATCCGTTACCACTCGCGACACTCGCCTCGACACTATTCCCGCCACTGTTCACGACGCGACCCAACCTCACGGTTCGGTTGGTAACCCGCGCTCCGGACCTCCGCCTCGACAATTCCCAACCTCGGCGCCAGGCCCGTCGCGCACCCCAATTTCCACGCATTACCGTTACCACTGTAGTTTCGCTAGATATTCTTCGCTCATGCCTTCGCTCATTTTACTCTTGCTTCGATAGTGCAATTCTCGCTCGCTCACTCAATTGCACACGTAACACTTGGTATTCAGAGCCTACGATCTCTTCTCGGACCGCACCCACACCTTCGCTTCCCCACTATCTCAATTTTTGGGGGGGGTAGACGTCTCTCAGCGACACAACACCGCCGCTCGTAGTGCTCTCTCGTAAGCACGCACGGCCACGACCGAGGCTCTCGCTGAGCTCGCCCGACACCCCCACCATGGCCGAATTCAATCTCGCGACATTGACGCAGGAGCAACTCGACCGTCTCGTGCGCCAAGTTGAAGAATCGGCGCTCGAAATCGCGACGCTCACGGCGGAACGTGACTCCGCGCGTCAGCAATCTACGGTGAACACTCCAACAGCACCACACACACCAACAAATGCACCTGCACAATCGGACGAGCCAATCGTCATCTCGTCCGGTACACCAACACAACACGACAGCGTGGGACAGCGCTCAGGTGCAGCCAGTGATAGCGCCGCCCAACCAATGCCTGGCATGGGAGGAAACAGGGTCGCGCCAAGCCCGCGGGAGCCTCGCGAAGCCCGTCGGCACGTGGAGTTCGCGGCGACAAGTGGCGAACAGGCCATCATGGCACCAATGCCACTCAAGCCGCAACGCCCGCCCTGCTTCGACCCGAGCCAGCGTGGAGGTCCGACGGTTCAATCGTGGGTCTTCACGATGAACGTCTTCTTCGACACGAATTACGTCGAGTCGGACACAGCGAAGATTCGGTATGCCGTTTTGCTGCTAAGGGGCCCCGCCATGGACTGGTGGCGAGTCATCGTGACGTCGCCACGCGCCTACGAGCCACCGTCGCAAGAGGAAGGGCCCACGGGTCCAGCTGTCACCTGGAGTTCATTCTGCGAGACCGCCCAATACAGCACGTGGGATGCGTGGTGCGCAGGGCTTCGGGCGCGCTTCGAGCCGATCGCGGCTTCTATTTCGTCGCGTCAGAGATTGCGCACTTGGCGGCAGCTCGGGTCGGTTCAAGATTACACGAGCGGTTTTCTCGCACTTTGCGAGCAGGTCGGCTACATGCACGAAGCGGAGCGGGTGGACCGTTACGTTGGAGGGCTGAAGCCGGATATCCCGCACGAAATCATGCTGCGCGGACTCTCGAACTCCAACGAGATTCTCGCGCTCGCCGAGAAAATCGACATTCTACGCCGACCGAGACCGGGGTCCTACTACGGACATCGTCCTCGGGGACCGATCGAGCACGCCACTGTAAACGCTGTTGCGACGAATGCAGCTGCCGCGCCGTTTAAAGGGCGCTGCTTTGCTTGCAACAGGCCGGGCCATCGCAAGAGCGAATGCCCAGAGGAGCTGAGGCGCCGCGGAGCAGAGCAGGGGAGGGAGTCTCAGAGGCAGGGAAACGCCAGCAGTCAGTAGGAGTCGGGCCAACTACTGACGAGACTGCCTGCTCGCCCAACCACACCGACCCTCACCGAGTCACAGTACCGATTCACGCCATCGATCGGGCTCGGACGAATAAGGAGGGTACAGCGACGGATTGCCCAGTACTGATCCACGGGAAAATACAGGGAGCAGCAGTGAAGATATTTATCGACGGAGGAGCAAGCCACAGTTTAGTTAATACCGCAACCGCAAGGAAACTGCAACTGACACTTAGCCGGTGCTTACCAGAGATCGATGCACGCTTAGTTGACGGCACGCCGCTGGCCATACGGGAGAAGGTGGAAAGAGTAAAAGTTCGCTGCGGGGGAAACTTCGGGTTTACACAGGAAATGCTCGCGACGACACTGGATGGGCACGACATTTTACTGGGACGTGATTGGCTGCGACGCTACAACCCGCGAATTGACTGGACGACAGGAAGCTGCACTGTGCGAAGTAGTGGAAATTG